GATGCGCACTGCCCACTGTAGCAGGCAGATGGCGCCGTCTCACCTACGGTTGCAAGAAGGAGCTGGATCGATTCGCACTCGTGCTATTGGGATATGCCATGTGAAGAGCCAAACATCTTTCTATTATTATTTTTAACTTGATTGCTTCTCGGTAATGAGCCCTGAAAGCACGCGAGCTTTGCGCAAATATATTTCACTCCCTACTGCGAATGCACCAACAGCCCCACTGAATCAGACAAAAGGGCTATTTAGTTCAGCATCCTGTTTTCTACAGTGACCTGTCCAGATAATAATGAGAATTCATTTTGTTTTGGTGACACCCTTCCTCTCGGTCAGGAGCCCAGAGCCGGCCCACCCATGAGGCAAGGTGAGGTGACCGGCTCAGGCGGCAAGATCCACACAGGCAGCAGAACCCAATGTAGATCTTTATTCCTCCCATCGTTCCTGATGTTCCTGAATTTCACCCACCCCTTCTTCCCTGGCAGGGAGGGGGGTGCCATTTTGTGGTTCTCCTCAGGTGCCCAAATGTCTTAGGAAGGTCCTGGTGCTGCACAACACCATTACAATACAGTTAGACCCAAACATTAGGTTAAAATCTACCTACATGCAGCAGAGCCTAACTTCAAAACTGACATTACCCTCTTACAATGGCTGGGTGAACAACTATGTATTTAGAGTTGATTGTGAAATGCCGCCAGTGAGGGGAACGATGTACTTCCTTAAGGAGGGAATTCCACAACTGAGGGGCCACTGCCGAGAAGGCCCCGCCTCAGATGTCTCTGAGAAGCTCAGATTGTGTCTTTTATAGGCAAAGCCCATCACAGCATGACTTTCCAAACAATATTTGCATAGAGGCAACCCAATTGCTGCTGGCATTATTTTCACAGGCATTGCGGACATCTGTTTCTTTTTTCTTTTTTAAATAATTTTTATTAACAGGCCAATCAAATCACATTATCCAAATCACATTAGTTCCAAATTATACAGCCAGATTTTTAAATTTTGTTGGGGGTGCCCATACTCCAAGCTCCGAACGGGGGTCCAAACATCACTTATATTGCTGCTTTAATTAGACAGTTCTATCCAGTTCTGTCCAGATAGTCTCTTTAATACTTTCTTCATCTTCTTGTTGTTATCGTATATTCCTTTCTTTGCGATCTCTGATAATCTTCACAAGCGGGTTGGAAACAAACATCCTCTGTGTGGGTTTTGCACTCTCCAAAGATCATATCACATAGGGACAGACACCATTCCACACCTCCGTAAAGAATTTATCCTCGGTCTGTTCATTAATTTTCCCAGGCTTGTCAACTATATCCGAGGGCTCTGCCAGGTTTAGATTACATTCCATTCATCATTCACATTCCGATGATCCTGGTCCTCCTCCCCCCGTCTTTCTTCGACAAGCCTGTCTTAGCAAGACGACATTTAAAACTGCGTCATAAAATTTTCCTCCGTTCTCCAGTATTTACCAGTCCTCTCCTTGATCTATAATTCACTCCACACAGTTCTTAAATTCCTGCTTGTGATTAAAAAAATGCAACAATTCATCTTTCTGGGGTGGAGGGTTATTAATACTCACATAAGGCAAAGAAAAGAAAAGTTTTTTCCTCCACCCCCCTTCTTTTTCACTCCAAACATACCAGTCTCTTAATGGTGGTTCATCACTTGATTTATTTGTCCCAGCCGTTGCTCCGGTCACAGAGATCCATTAATCAGCAGTCTTAACTCCTGAACTTTGCTTGATGTATGTGCTTCAGCTTCTTTCCAATTATATATTTCCAATTATGTTTTTGAGCTGAAGCGAACCAGAGCACGATTGGAGAAAGCGTCAGGAAGAGCCTACTTCACCGAGGGCATGTGCCAAGTGACTGGGCACCCCCTTCTTTCAATTCCGGGGGTCCATTACGGACACCGCTGGCAAGGCAGTCCCCCCCATCTCCTCGGGGGGTCGGGAAGGCTGCATACTTCCCATAGTAGCCTCTTAATTACCTTGTGTGGGTCGGAGAGATGTTATTGTCGGCCATCTTCCAATGCTCCACCTGGTGGCCCCCCTGCGGACATCTGTTTCAAACATACACACAACCTCTCAGCCAACTTTACCTCTCCAGGTGATCGGAGATGAATGAGAACTTGGAACTGGTGCAGAGGTAGTTGGAGAAGAACTGAACTGTCTGCTGGCTGACCTGTATGCCCTTCCTCATTTTTTTGTTCAGAATTCCATGTACGTTTCCCCTCTCAAATCTGCACACAACCCAGTTCTGACAGTGAGCTACTTGTCTACATGCAGGGCCCGAGTAATGAACATCATCACAGCCCCTAGGTGATTCAGCCCTCCCCAACTTGTTCATAATCCTCTTCAACAGCTTGGATTCAGAACTGGCTGAAACTGGCATTGCCAACTTTATGAAACAGCCCATGTAGCAACAGGCAGTCTGGCCTGCAGTAATTAACAGGCGATCTTTTCTTCGCAGCCTGGCAAGAACTTTAATTCTCCTGTGCCTTTAAGATCTTTCAAGACTTCTGCAATTTCCTAGACCTTTTAAACTCACCGTGTGAGTTTTTAGCTCTGTCTTATTTATTATTGAGTGACTTGGTTTTATCTGCCTGTTGTTGGCTGCTTTTTATTGACTAATTATATTGTTTTTATATGGCTTGCTAAGCCAGACCGAGAGCATTTTATGCGGAAGGTGCAGGAAACGCATTTGGGGAAGGGCTGTCACTCCGGGGGCAGAGTGCCTTGCATGCCGATGTTCAGGCCCTGGCATTTCCAGGAAGGAGAGACCCCTTTCTTAAATCCTGGAGAGCTGTTGCCAATTATTGTAGGCAGTTCTGAGCTATATTTCTCCTTCCCAATAAAGCTTTCCTGGAGCTTGACTCTAAGATTCGTCTGCATTAGTGCTGTGTGTTGCATCCCTGGGCAAGGGATGTCCAAGGAGGCATGTTCCATGCCTTCTCCAGGCCACATGGCAGAGGGGTTGCCAAAGATACCAGCTCACAACTGATCTGTACATCAGGTGTTATTCCAGAACAGCTGCCTCACAATATCCGCTTTTACCTCAGGCCCAGATTCCTCCCAATACCAGGTCCTTCAACAAACTTCTCCTTCCTGGGGGGTGCTTCAGCACAGCTCTTTCTTCCCAGTGCACAAGCATCCTATTTCCCAGTCTGGTCTCCTCAGGAGTAACTCCCAGGGATGGTCAGTTCCTCCCACAGTTGCCTCAGATTTCCTCTCCCGCCACGCCCAGACCATCCAGCCTGTTCCCTGTCTCAAGAGGGCCTCATTCCTGCTCTCGTTGACTTTTTATTTCCTCCTCGTCTTCAAGGACCTCCTCTTTCCATATGAACCTACCCAGACCCTGAGATCATTTTCTGAGGCCCTTCTTTGTGTACCTCCTCCAAGAGAGGCCTGGAGGATAGCAAGAGGAGAGCAGGCCTTTTCTGCAATGGCTCCCCATTTGTGAAATGCTCTCCCTAGGGAGGCCCGCCTGGCGCCTTCCCTATACACCTTTAGGCACCCGGCGAAAACATTCCTCTTTAACAAGGCCTTTGGTTGATTGACATCCAATGCCCTGTTAAAAAGTGTTGGGGGGAAGGATTGTTGGGTTGTTTTTGTTTTATTTTGATTGTATGTTTTGTGTTCGTATATTGTGATTTTATCCTGTAACCACCCTGAGACCCGCAGGGATAGGAAAGTATACAAATTTAATAAATAATAATAACAATTCTGCCTTGGCAGCTGGGCTCCTTCTTTGCCACCAGGCCACCAGGGGAGAGCCTCCTGGATTTTTTGTCCCCCAGTTAGAGTCCCCAGACAATGCCCAAATGTGGTCTCCTCAGGAGTTATTGCCTGGTTGGTGCCTGGTGGTATGGCTAGTGGATTACTAGGGACGTTTTTAATGTTTGATCTTTTATCGCTTTATTATTATTATTATTATTATTATTATTATTATTATTATTCTATTGGGAGTTGCCCAGAGAGGCTGGGGAAACCCAGCCAGATGGGTAGGGTATAAATAAATTAATAATAATAATAATAATGACTGTTATTATTATTAAAGGCTGTCACAGAATTATAGAATTATAGAGCTGGAAGTGGCCCCCGGGTCATCTAGTCCAACCCCCTGCAGGAATCTTTTGTTCAACATGGGACTTGAACCCACAACCCTGAGATGAAGAATCGCAGGCTCTACTGACCCAGCTGGGTCAGGCGCCACCAAAGGATGCCGGCGAGCCCTGGCAGCCCCTCACATGCTCTCAAAGTCCCACAGCTGAGGATGGGACACTGAACAAGAAAGTTCTGCCATGGATGCTTTCGTTGAGATTCCACAACTGGGGTTCCCTTCCAGCTCTATGCGGGACGCGGGTGGTGCTGTGGGTTAAACCACAGAGCCTAGGGCTTGCCGATCAGAAGGTTGGCAGTTCGAATCCCCACGACGGGGTGAGCTCCCGTTGCTCGGTCCCTGCTCCTGCCAACCTAGCAGTTCGAAAGCACGTCAAAGTGCAAGTAGATAAATAGGTACCGCTCCAGCGGGAAGGTAAACGGCGTTTCCGTGCGCTGCTCTGGCTCCCTTGGCCAATAAAGCGATATGAACGCCGCAACCCCAGAGTCGGTCACGACTGGACCTAATGGTCAGGGGTCCCTTTCCCTTTCCAACTCTATGCACAGAGGTATGAGGAGAATGCACCAGTGTTAAAGGTATTCCAGAGATGAATGCAAATTATAATCACACACCTTTGGTTATTTCCCTTTAATTTTCCCTTTTAAAAACCCTGCCCCCAATCCCCCCCCCATTTTTTAAAAAATGCCACGAACACACGTTTTGTGGTCATGTGCATGTAAAACTCAACACATATTTTATTTTATATATATATAAACATAGAAAGGTTCTAGGTCCAGCCCTGTCCCACCCCACGGACCGTTCATCTCCCGCGAAACCTTCCCTCTGATTGACACCTCCCTCCCAGAGCGCCGGCAGCCGGCGGAGGGGCGAAAGGGACCGGCTGCTCGGCAGTTGGCTCGGGAACCGACAGGGGGCGCGCGCGGACGGGCGTTAGGCGGTGGCCGCGGAGCTGCGAGAGGGCGAGGAGAGATGGCTCATGGCAACCCCGTGGTGAGGGCGAAAAGCTGGGGTGGGGGGCTAGGAATAGGGGGGAGAAGCTCAGCTTGGCTCAGGGAAGCGCCCAGGCACGTTTAGACCCTGGGCTTAGCCGGCTTACAAACACCCCACTTCCCTCTTAGGATGCTAATGCGCCTGGCTGTGTTTGGGGGTGTGTGTGTCCTTTTGCAGAGGGGGGTCCCCAAATTCCTTCCCTTGAGCAGACCCATTAAGAGGCTCTGGGTGGTACTTGAAAGAATCGCTCGATTGGGGGAGCAGAAACGGTACATTTTTCTTTTAAAGCCGCTCCCCCAGTCCTCCTGGCATTTAACTGAACCGAACCCCAAGAGATTGGCATCAAAGCACCCCGTGTCAGAGAGGTGGTATATATCACCTTTCTGTTGTGTTATGTTAGTATAAAGGTAAAGGGACCCCTGACCATTAGGTCCAGTCGTGGCCGACTCTAGGGTTGCGGCACTCATCTCGCTTTATTGGCCGAGGGAGCCGGTGTACAGCTTCCGGGTCATGTGGCCAGCATGACTAAGCCGCTTCTGGCGAACCAGAGCAGCGCACGGAAACGCCGTTTACCTTCCCGCACCTATTTATCTACTTGCACTTTGACGTGCTTTTGAACTGCTAGGTTGGCAGGAGCAGGGACCGAGCAATGGGAGCTCACCCTGTTGCGGGGATTCGAACCGCCAACCTTCTGATCAGCAAGCCCTAGGCTCTGTGGTTTAACCCACAGTGCCACCTGCGTCCCATCATGTTAGTATAGGGCACCGTTAGTTGTATGCAGTTGTGGGTGAAGACCACCACCAGCCTTGATTTACATCGCTTTGAAAGGGATGGCTAGGAAGAACTAGTCAGGCTAATAATGGTCTCTTGGTGCACTTTGAAGCCAGGTTACTGCACTGAAGCTTCCGTGTTTAGAGGCAGTCTACCTTTAAACCTCCATGTGCACTGGTGGTGGGGAGTGGGAAGGCAGCCAGGGCAGGGCTGTTGTTTTCAGGTCCTGCTTCAGTGATTCCCGAAAGCATTTTGGGAAACGGATGCTGGACTGCTTGGAAGTTTCGGCCATCCCAGCAGGGTTACACTTTGGTCTATATTTTACATCCTGGGGCTAATCTCTCCCCCTGCCCCGAATGTTGCTAATGGAGGTAGCCTGCAGCTACCTCTCCTTCCAAAGCCCTGGAACGTTTTTGTTCTTGTTGTTTAGTCGTTTAGTCGTGTCCGACTCTTTGTGACCCCATGGACCAGAGCACGCCAGGCACTCCTGTCTTCCACTGCCTCCCGGAGTTTGGTCACACTCATGCTGGTAGCTTCAAGAACACTGTCCAACCACCTCGTCCTCTGTTGTCCCCTTCTCCTTGTGCCCTCAATCTTTCCCAACATCAGGGTCTTTTCCAGGGAGTCTTCTCTTCTCATGAGGTGGCCAAAGTCTTGGAGCCTCAGCTTCAGGGTCTGTCCTTCCAGTGAGCACTCAGGGCTGATTTCCTTCAGAATGGAGAGGTTTGATCTTCTTGCAGTCCATGGGACTCTCAAGAGTCTCCTCCAGCACCATAATTCAAAAGCATAAATTCTTTGGCGATCAGCCTTCTTTAAGGTCCAGCTCTCACTTCCATACATCACTACTGGGAAAACCATAGCTTTTACCATACGGACCTTTGTTGGCAAGGAACGTTTTTAGGTTAGAGAAAATGAGAGCAAGAGGCGACATGATAAAAGTTAGTGAAATTATGCACAGCACAGACAAAGTGGACGAGAGATAGATAAACTTTATTCGCCTTAGCCAACAGCCATAGCAACATAAAACAAGCAATATATACAATTAAAAAGACAACAATGGGTAAAAAGGACAATCAGATGACCAAGATTATCGTTCAGATAGTGGCCCTTAATCCTATTGCACCCTCGATAAACCTAGCAACCTTTGCTGTTGTCTGATCGTTTTGATCTGATAAAAGAAAGAACAATGTGGCAGCAGATGGGCGGCCTGGGATGGTAAGTAAGAGTGGGGTGATGATCTCATTCCTCAGATCTTTATAAAGGGGACAGGACAGGAGAACATGAGCCACTGTTTCCAGATAAAGTGGACAAGAGAATAGCTTGTCTCCCCCTCTCATAACACTAAAACTCACGGGCATCAAATGAAGCTGAGTGTTGGAAGATTCAGGGCGGATAAAAGGAAAAGTTCCCCCTTCACCACAGGACATAGTTAAACTTTGGAACTCACTTCCACAAGAGGCAGCGATGGCTGCCAGCTTATAAGAGGATTGGGCAAATTCACGGAGGAGAGGCTGTGCTTTTGTGCAATGGGTCAGTGGTTGGTGGTCTGAGCCCACTCAGGGTTGGCTGTGAGCAGAATCCCTCCGTTACAGGGGGCTGGACTAGATGACCCCTGGAGGTACCTCCCAACTCTATAATTCTACTTTGTACTAGTTGCTGGGAACTGCAGGAGGGGAGAATGCTCTTGTGCTTGGTTCCTGCTGGCAGGTTTACCAGAATCACCTGACTGGTCACTGTGAGGACAGGATGCTAGACTAGATGGGCCACTGGCCTAATCTAGCAGGCCGTTCTAGGGACCTCAAGGGTCATTGAGTCCAACCCCCCGCAGTGCAGGATACAAAATCGCCAAGAAGGGAGGTAGCACATTCCACTGTCTGTTGAGCATTTCAGCCTCCGTTCATGACTGCCATGATGTCCTGAGCTACTCCAGAGCACGGATATTTTAGAAGAGCAAACTTATAAACCTGCTGTTTGAACAAAACCCACATGGAACATTTAATTCGAGGGGCTGTCACGCTTCAGACATTTATTTATTTTTGGTGTTAACTTTGTGCCTGGTTTTAAATTTGTCGATGCTACCCAAATTGTTAACGTGCTTATCTTAAAACTCAAGATCGGGAGATTACTCGCAAAGCTTCTGTTATTAGAATAAATGTTTTGTGGGCGTGTGCCTAACAGCACTAAACTAAGCCTGTGCTGAAATTAATGTAATGTATTTTCAGGGTAAATCTGACCTAGTTTGAAAGTCTTGAAATTTTAGAAATGACGATAACACAAGTTTGCATGTATTCTGGGGAAGTTTCTGAAGCTTTACATTTAAGGCACTTTAAAAAAGAAGAAGAAGAAGAAGAAGAAGTGAGGAAAACAAGCTTAATGTTGCAAAGACATTTATTTGCTGGGAAATGTGGCAAAATGTGAAATTAATAGCCTGCTTTGCACGTCACACCAAGCCACACCATGACTTACTGTGAATGCATGGGGGCCTGAAGAGAAACTTGTGTCGCCTTCACTCCCTCCTGGGTTGTTTTGCTTCTGCGTTGAACAGGTGTGGGGTTATGGCATTTGTATGGCTTGAGAGACAATGGAGTGTGCCTCTGGGGGTGAAGTCAAACTTCTCCATTAGCAGCACCAAAGTGACCTCCCTGGGGTGCAAGCCTGGGCGGTGTGTACATAATAATAATAATAATAATAATAATAATAATAAATAAAATAAAAATAAAAATAATTTTATTTACATCCCGCCCTCCCCAGCCGAAGCCGGGCTCAGAGCGGCTAACAACAATAAAATAATACAGCATTCTAAAATCAAATTCATTATAAAATCAGTCCAAATCAAATTAATGGCAACCATCGGGCTAGAGTTCTGTGAGGATTACCAAAGGAGGGGGTCAGGCTGTGCCTTGGCCAAAGGCCTGGTGGAACAGCTCTGTCTTGCAGGCCCTGTGGAAAGATGTCAAGTCCCACAGGGCCCTAGTCTCTTGTGACAGAGCATTCCACCAGATCGGGGCCACAGCCGAAAAAGCCCTGGCTCTGGTTGAGGCCAGCCTAACCTCCCTGTGGCCCGGGGCCTCCAATATGTTTTTGTTTGAAGACCGTAAGGTCCTCCGTGGGACATATCAGGAGAAGTATGGAAGTCCTGGGCTTCTCAGACAACAAGACCCTCCTCTTGGCCTCGCTGATGTGGTCCAAAGGAAAGCAGAGCAAGACGTGTTGCACCAGCTTGGCTGCAGGAGTTGCCAGGAAGACAAGTACAAAGCACTATCCAGCCATCTCAGGGACTTGAGATTTGTGTAGGGTTCACTGCTTAGCCCATTCTTCTCCCTAAGATGTCATGCAAGGCAGAGGGTATGGCTTGTTCCTTGAGGTTTATTCCTGAAGCCTTTCTCATGAATGGGTATAGCTGCAAGGCAGCAGAAGTTTAGGACCAGAGATTTCCTTCTCCTGGATTGTCTACCTTGCCAGGCTGATGAGCCCCATCGGCCCCTCATTTCCTTCGACAGCATCCTTCGACAGCACATGCAAAAACCACCTTCTTGACCATTGGATCCACTTCCAGTCTTGTTCGCTCAATCCTCTGGAGCCTGTCTTCACATGCAGGGAAACTCCCTAACTTGTTGAGCGTTTGAGACCAATAATAATACAGTGGTACCTGGGATGCGGGTGGCACTGTGGGTTAAACCACAGAGCCTAGGACTTGCCGATCAGAAGATCGGTGGTTTGAATCCCCGCAATGGGGTGAGCTCCCGTTGCTCGGTCCCTACTCCTGCCAACCTAGCAGGAAGTGCAAGTAGATAAATAGGTACCGCTCGGGCAGGAAGGTAAACGGCGTTTCCGTGCGCTGCTCTGGTTCACCAGAAGTGGCTTAGTCATGCTGGCCACATGACCCAGAAGCTGTACGCCAGCTCCCTCAGCCAATAAAGCGAGATGAGCACCGCAACCCCAGAGTTGGCCACGACTGGACCTAATGGTCAGGGGTTCCTTTATCTTTACCTCGGGTTACAGATGCTTCAGGTTACAGATGCTTCAGGTTACAGACTCTGCTAACCCAGAAATAATACCTCGGGTTAAGAACTTCAGGATGAGAACAGAAATTGCATGACAGTGGCATGGCGGCAGCGGGAGGCCCCATTAGCTAAAGTGGTACCTCAGATTAAGAACAGTTTCAGGTTAAGAACGGACCTCCAGAATGAATTAAGTTCTTACCCCGAGGTAGCACTGTAGTAGTAGTAGTAGTAGTAGTAGTAGTAATAATAATAATAATAATAATAATAATTTTATTATTTGTATCCTGCCAATCTGACTTGGTTGCCCCAGCCACTCTGGGCAGCTTCTAGCATATACAAAAACATAATCAAACATCAAACATTGAAAACTTCCCATTGGCTACCCTCACCTGGTTTAGCCTGGCAGTCAAAGCCGTTCCTGAGATAAGGCTGCTGTTGCATGCTGACAGCTTCTAGGAGCCGCAGGTGAGAGCTGAGTTCAGGGTGGGGACCAAAGGTGGACAAACTACCCCAGAAGGAGCATGATGTACTCTCCACCAGAGGTAGTCCCGCTCCCCTCACACCCAATACACCCCATACCCCAGGTGTGGGGTGACTTTAACGTAACTGGGCATTTGCATGGAAAAAGGAAAAGAACTGTGTTTACCTGCGCCAACTGCTTTGGAACGAACAGGGCAGAAATTGAATTGAGGTTGCAGTCCCGTGTACACTTATCTGGAAAGTGAAACACTATTGGGCACAGTGGGCCATGCATGCATAGAAGTGGAGAGGGCTCCTTTAAGAACACAGGAAGAGCTTGCTGGATCACAGTGTCCAGCCAGATTCCCCGGGGAGAAATTGGCAAGCAGGACCCGGGTGCAAGACCACTCCCCCCTCCTTTAGCACCCTGAGCGCTGCCGATCTTATTGAGATATACCTAGGACTCCTGAGACTTCCCCAGCCATTGCCCATCCATGTTTAAACCCTGTTTTGCAGCCATGATGGCCAGACCTGTGAATGTTTTGAAAGGGAAAATGGGAGATTCCTCAGTTCTGGACCCAATGCAACTTCTTTAGTACCACAGAAGGGGTGAAGCTCAGTGGCGGAACGCCTGGTTCACTTGCAGTAGGGCTCAGTTTCATTCCTCCAGGCAGGTTTGGGAGACCCCGTCTGAAATCCCTGAGAGCTGCTGCTGCTGCCGGCCAGTGTAGACGTAATTGCGCTAGATATATGTCAGTGGTCCGACGTGGTGCAAGGCAGCATCTTCCTAGGTTCTCTCACGGAACTGCAGCACACAGAGACAGGGAGCCTCCTTTTAACTCTTCCCCCCCTTTGTGCTGCACAGCCTAAATTCTACAAATCGGTTATCGACGATGTGATTGAAGTTGTCCAGGATGTCTTTGCGGAAGAAGGGGTCGATGAGCAGGTCCTGAAAGAGCTGAAGCGGGTGAGTTGAATGGCTCTGGTTTGCAGTTTCCCTCTCTCTCTTTCTCCCATTCCTAGTCTGGTCTGAGTAGCCTGTATTCCTGTTTTCTGCAGAAATTCCCAAACACTTTCCTTTGACATCAGTGGTGCAGTGGAGGGTGGGGCAGGGACAAAGCCCCGCTACTTATTTCACAGCAGGGACAATAATAAGATCTCCTGGACCACTATATGTCAATAGTGCCAAATAAATAAAAGAGAAATTCACCAGATAAGGCCAAATTAGTGAGCAAGCTGTTGAGATCCCCCAAACTCTTCAGCTCCTCATTGCTATTCTACCACTACTTGCCACTGATTACCAGTTTAGTTCATATTTAGAGTTTACAGCATCTGTCTGTGTCACAGGGGTGAAAGGGAGCCATATCTATCTTCATTTTTTAGTTAATGATGGGATGTAGAACTTCCCCTAAAAATCAAAATTCCGGTTATTGGGTTCTGAAGTACACTCTGAGCTGAGTTTATGTTCTTGTACTCTGTCTTGCAATTTCCTCACAAAGATCATGCTTCTGGTTCTTGCATACTTCCAAACGGGGATGGTCAGGACTTTTTTTCCCAGCCAAAACTTGCCAGAACTCAGTTTCAGCACCTCTCAGGTGGGCACCATTGCCTTTCAAAGAGAACAAGGGAGGTGTGTTCATGGTGAGTTCTGGCACCTCTATTTCTAGAAAAATAGCACAGAGGATGGTTATTATAATCTTAGCTGCTCCCCGCTTTCTTGAATAGAGTCCAGGGATAGTGCAATGATGTTTAGTTTCCTACAGGTTTGAGAGGGAGCATGCACACCGGAATCTCTCTGTATTTCTATAATATTGGTTTGTTCACAGATATACCAGCAGAGCATAGTAGAAGCAAAAACACCCCCCAAAGCAGGTAGCTTAATCACCGATCCTGCACCATATCCCCTAGAAGCAGCTAATACAAAGTCTTAAGGCCGTACCCCAGTTATTCAGATGACTTCCATGGAAAACTCAGCTCTTTGCTGTTCCTGGGTTTCACCCTGCAATTATTCATTAATGAACAATTATCACGCACCAGGTGATTATTTTAGCATAGCCATAGTGATAGGCCCACCCACAGTGACAGAGGAGGCTAAACTCAACAATATATAAAGCCAACGGGTTATGTTAGATCCTGACGGGGAGTAGAAAAATCAGCTGGCTTAAATGAGATCTTTTCACCTTTATGTGTGTGTGGTTTTATTATTCAAACCTCCTTTTCTTGCAGCGCTGGGAAACGAAAGTGATGCAGTCTAAAGCGACGGAAAGCTTCTTCCGCCACAGCCACCTTCCTCCCCAATTCACCTTGCACCTGCCTCCCAACTTCCACCAAGCCCTGCAGACGACAACAGGTTGATGAACGGTCTCTTTCTGCAGATACTTCACAGTGGTGGCTGTGGGTAGCTCACTGGGGAAGCGTACATCTGGGCTGCAGAAAACCCCTTGTTCAATCCTTGTATGTGATGGTTGTATGTGATGGCAGAGAAGGGCTGCCCCTCAGTAGATAAGGCTGGGTTAGACCAGGCAGAGCCAACATGGTGCCCTCCATATTTGGCTTCATTCCAGCTCCCATCAGCCCCAGCGTGGCTGTTGGTCAGTTTTGAAAGGAGCTGCAGTTTCCACTTTTACTAACGGATACCTGCTCGGCAATAATACCTTGTGAGGCACAGGCTGCAGTTCTATACCACTGAGTGTAAACCACTGAGCCTCTTGGGCTTGCCGATTGGAAAGTCGGCGGTATGAATCCCTGTGAGGGGGTGAGCTCCCATTGCTTTGTCCCAGCTCCTGCCAACCTAGCAGTTCGAAAGCATCTCAGTGCAAGTAGATAAACAGATACCGGTGTGCTGGGAAGGTAAACAGTGTTTCCATGCGCCCTGGTTTCCATCATGGTGTTCCATTGTGCCAGAAGCAGTTTAGTCCTGCTGGCCATATGACCCAGAAATCTGTCTGTGAACAAACACTGACTCCCTTGGCCTGAACGCGAGATGAGCCCCGCACCTCATAGTCATCTTTGACTGGACTTAGCTGTCCAGGGGTCCTTTACCTTTCCCCCTGGAAGTAAGCCCCTTTGAAGAGAGTGGGATTTACATACAAACTGAGAGGCGTAGGAGTGCTCTGAATGAATTGCAGTCAGAAGTCAAAGTGTGCTGCTGGCTTGATGACGGATTAAACAAAGAGAATACTTGAGGCCTTACTGTAACACCAAGGGTGCTTCATGACTGTTGCTATTTTTGGGTGGGATTCAATCACGTACCAGCCAGTCTTCCAGTTGGGCAAATGTCGTGGATTACGAGGTCTTGTGCAACAAGCTCACTTCTCCAAAAGGTTGGACTTTTTGCAAGAAGGAAAGTGAGGGGGGAATGTGCTGGAAAGTGTGGGGTGATAATCTGTTTTGGTGCAACATCATATCACCTCCCTGCAGACAAATCAGAAGGCATGCTCATTAAATAGCCAGCAGTGCCTAATCTCCCTGCAAACAAATTGTGATGGATGCTTAATAAAGTGGTTGTCTGGGAACGCCCCCTGACGCCAGCCTCTCGCCTCTGCTGATTTTTGTCAGGGCTTAATGGTGATGCATATGCAGTGGGAGGAATCACCATGCAGGAGAAGACAAAACTTTACATGAAGCCCTTGTGACATTTGTTATTTAAATGATATTCCTTTAGGTGCTGCTGCCGGCAGAGGAATTCAACAGTTTCCGACATCAGCAGTGGCGGCGGCCGAACTTGTATGTAGACTTAGCATTGCCTTATGATTTTTCTTATCCCCCTCAAAGGCAAAAACCTTAAATTCTATATCAGTATCAACATTTCCCAGTTTAACAATCTTTGGTGATGATAAATAGCCTTGCAAAATGTCAATTGTAATCAAGCAATCAGCATTCATATTGCAAACACCGGTAATTATAGAGATGCCCAGTCCGTTTTTAAAGAGTTTCGTATCGATTGGGGATGGGGACGACGACCATTACGCTACTTTTGTCTGCCATCTTAAACCCAATTGTAGATGTGGCCTTCTCTTGGTACATTTGAGATTGTTTTCCCTTATTTCATTTATTGTATTAATTTAATAGCTTGTCTCCTAAAAGCATTTGAAAGCAACTTGCCATTTATGTATTGAATTGATGCTTTGCTAGGCTTGTCTGTACGATGGATTGGGTCCAGGCTTGCACATCACATACTCCCGCCAGTGCTAGAGGAAGACAGCAGGCAGTGATTTTCGTCAATTTTGTCTCCCCCTGCAGCCCCTTGGAAAAACTGTCCCATAGGATTGTGGGGGACAGCATGGGAGGTGGTGCTTGTTGCTGCAAAGCAAAGAGGAGTTAGATCCTGTCTCTCCATGTGAATGGATGGAGCCTTTGTCCAGTCACAGATGTGCAAGTCTGGATACAATCTGCACTCTAATAACGTACTCAGGAGGATAATTTGCAGTAGGAGGGTGGGCAACGTCTTGCAGCCCAAGGGCTGCATTTGGGGCAACGTTCCCAAGGCCAAACGCTAGGGCTGGGCAGCACCAGAGGCAAAAGTGGGAAGAGCAACAAATGTAAAACCCAACTTTCTACAGTGGGGTCATTTCTACATTACCCTCCTGCAACATGCCCTGTGTGAGTGTCTGGAGGTGGGTGGCAGCTAACGGATTAAGGTTGAATCCCAACAAGACAAAAGTATTATTTCTGGGGGACAGGGGGCAGACAGGTGTGGAGGACTCCCTGGTCCTGAATGGGGTAACTGTGCCCCTGGAGGATCAGGTGCGCAGCCTGGGAGTCATTTTGGATTCACAGCTGTCCATGGAGGCGCAGGTCCAGGGCAGGTGTCTACCAGCTCCACCTGGTACGCAGGCTGAGACCCTACCTGCCCGCACACTGTCTTGCCAGAGTGGTACATGCTCTGGTTATCTCCCTCTTGGACTACTGCAATGCAGTCTATGTGGGGCTGCCTTTGAAGGTGACCGAGAAACTACAACTAATCCAGAATGCAGCAGCTAGACTGGTGACTGGGAGCGGCTGCCAGGACCCTATACCATTGGTCCTGAAAGACCTACATTGTTTCCCGTTGCATTTTTAAGCACAATTCAAAGTGCTGCTCCTGACCTTTAAAGCCCTAAACTACCTCGGCCCAGTATACCTGAAGGAGCGTCTCCACCCCCATTGCTCAGGCCGGACACTGAGGTCCTCCTCCAAGGATCTTCTGGCAGTTCCCTCACTATGAGAAGTGAGGTTACAGGGAATGAGGCAGAGGGTCTTCTCAGCAGTGGTGCCCTCCCTTGTGGAATGTCCTCCCATTAGATGTCAAGGGGGTAAATAACTATACTACTTTTAGAAGACATCCCTATATGGGGAGGTTTTTTAATGTTTGATGTTTTATTATGCATTTATGTGTGTTGGTTGCTGCCCAGGGTATCTGGGGCAACCCATCCAGATGGGCAGAATATAAATAATAAAATAATAAAAATTACTGCTACTGCTACTACTATTTAGCAAAGCACTTGGGAGGTGCTCCAAGCCACCAAGCCCTGTCTAGACTTGTTCTGCATCTGCTGTAGCTTCAAGGGGGAACTGGGGAAATGTTTCAGGGCTACAGAAACACAACTGACTGTTTCCAGACGAAAACCAGGCAACATATGATGAGCTGGCAGATTGAACAAATTGAAAATCTTGGCTGCTGTGAACTTCAGGAGGAGGGTTGGCCAAGGCTGCAAGATCTGGAGGGCACTGGGACAGGAAAGGCTGACGCAAGGACATGTCCTTCAAAGGACCCTGGGATTATTATATACTAATGCAGAGCTTTATTTTTCAAAGTGACCAAGATTAGAGTGCCCAGATAACAATGTGACATTCCACAAATTCTCCAGTATGAAGCACTAAACAGCTAGTTGCTACAGTATTGCGGAGCATTTTGCAATTGCTATGGCAGGCAGGAAGATCCCTGAGTGGTCCATCAAGACCCTCAGCCATGTTCCAAGTGATCCATTACGGGGAGGTGGGGATATTTTAGAGATACTGGAACAGAACATGGGCTGCGATCTACAAAATCTAACTGAATTTTTCTGACGGGCTTCCTTTTACTTCAGGGCACCTCCAGGTCTGCCGGTACAATCTTCACCCTGCCTTCAGGCTTCGCCTATCCCATCCAAATACCCGCTGGCGTGACTCTGCAGACGGCTTCTGGTAAGCAGAGCAGGTGCAGGCTTGGAACGTGGTTGATACGGTTGGCAGGGTTTGAAGAAGTGTGCGAGGAAGACTGTGTGGATTTTGCAATGTGGAAGCTGGCCGTTGATAAGCTTTAAGGGTAAAGACTGCACCACAAACTAGTTTAATAAAAAAGGAACAAAAGAATTGTTGCACGGTGCTTCCAGGCTGCTGCTGTTTTTGGGTGGGATTCAGTTGCATCCCAAGAAATTCAGGTTTGCACAATGAAAGCTGATCGTAGACTCATGGAATTGTAGATCATAGAATTGTAGAGTTGGAAGGCAGGAATCTCAACTAAATCATCCATGACAGATGGCCATCCAACTTCTGTTTAAGAACTTCTAAGGAAGGAGAGTCCTCCACCTTCCAAGGGAGTGTTCCACTGTCAAACAGCTCTTATTGTCAGAAAGTTCTTCCTGAGGTTTAGTTGGAATCCCTTTTCCTATAACTTGAATCCATTGGTTCAGGTTCTTCCTTCTGGAGCAAGAGGAAACAAGCTTGCTCCACCCTCCTTTCCTCCTCCCCCTCCTCCTCCTCCCCCTCCTCCTCCTCCCCCTCCTCCTCCTCTTCTTCTTCTTCTTTGGTGATCACTCTTGGTCGAGTATGATTGTCTTCCATAAACACAGTCTTAACAGTGAGTCCGTAAGTGACTGTGGATGCCAATTCTGGATTCACACATCCTTCCACAGTGGGGGCATAGGTTTCTTGGTGGGATTTGATCACGGTGAGGGTTTGCCAAGCGTGCCTTCCTCTTAGCACTTTTCTCCTTTTCGTCCTGAGTTTGAGCATCTTCAAAGCCCATGACACCATTGGTAAAGGCTGTTCTGCAATTGGAGCGCTCACAGGCCAGCGTTTCCCAGTTGTTGGTGTTTATACTACATTTTTAAAGATTTGCCTTAAGAGAGTCTTTAAATTTCATTTGTTGACCTCCAGCATTACGCTTCCCATTTTTCGGTTAAAAATACAGTGGTACCTCGGGTTACGTATGCTTCAGGTTACATACGCTTCAGGTTACAGACTCCGCTAACCCAGAAATAGTAAGGTTAAGAACTTTGCTTCAGGATGAGAACAGAAATTGTGCTCCAGCGGCGCGGCGGCAGCAGGAGGCCCCATTAGCTAAAGTGGTGCTTCAGGTTAAGACAATTTCAGGTTAAGAACGGACCTCCGGAATGAATTAAGTACTTAACCCGAGGTACCACTGTAGAGTAGTTGCTTTCAAAGATGATAATCAGGTATCTGCACAACACGACCAGTCCAATGAAGTTGATGTTGAAGAATCATTCCTTCAACACTGGTGATCTTTGCTTCTTCCAGTACACTGGCATTAGTTTGCCCTCCATCATCCATGTAACAGCTCTCATCTACCTGGCTCTTCTAGATCAACCCCAAATTATGGCTTGAAGGCACACAAAGCCACTATCTGGTTGAAGCTAAGCAGGTCTGGTTGGTTAGTGCCTGGATGGAGTACTATCTGGGAACTGCATGTATGTTCCATGATGGAAGAAAGGGAGGATATAAAGTAAGGTTTTGGTTGGTTTGTTTTTAACTGAAGAAAAGAAAAAAGATCTGGAGGGCCCCAGGCGGACCATGTATGTGTTTACGTGTGTTTAACCCTCTGTTAACTGCAATGTTGAGCTGACTGTTGATGGATGAAACTTTGTGGGAGGGAAAAAGCTGAATGGCAGTAGAGCTGGCAAACCAAGGAATTTGGCCCACCTCTGGCTCTCTTCCCAAGCAGTTCTGATTGGCCGTTGAGGGAGACAGGCCTACTCACAATATTCAGTTTCTCTTTCTTAGGGCAGCTGTATAAAGTCAACATGCCGGTGGTGGTCACCCAGGCCCCGGGAGGTGCAACTGTCCTCCAGAATCCAGTCCAGCAAATATTCCAACAGCTCGGGCGGCAGCCCTCAGGAGCTCAGCCTGCCACCGCTGGTGCCATGCCAGCGAACGCCTCTTCTCATCAGGCACCCAGTGAAAACCTGCAGGCCCTGAATCCTGCTGTATCTCAGCAAGTGGGAATGGAAGAGAAGACCTTGCCTGCTGCTGCTGCTGTCATGCAGGAGGCTATTGGGAGTCATGGGAAAGCTGCAGTGGGAGCTCTGGTAAGAGAGCAACCAACCAGCTCCATGGAGACCCTTCCAAATGCAGTTGTTCTTGACTTGAAATTACCGGAAGCACACTGCCCTACAGTGGCCACAGAAACGACGGCAGGAAGCTCTCCCAATGGGTCAGAATTGCCAGTCAATCTTGAGCAGCCGCTGGATCCCAACGATATAATTGAGCTGATAATTATGGGCAACGAGTTGGATGACAGCACTCTCCTGTCTGATGAAGCCAACCTCTCCTTTTCTGAAGAGGTAATTCATTTTAAAGCAGGGACAGAGTCCAACAACATTTGGTGAGCCACAGGTTCCCTACTTTCTTTTGAAGGATTTCTTTCCATCTTTCTTCCGTTCAAAACTGCTTGCAAATGTGATTTTTAAAATGTAGCAGAATGTAGGATGTGTGCAAAATTGTGAAATAAGCATGCTCTTGGGTATTTACCATATTCTTCCCATTTAAAATTGAGAATGAGGAACTTAAAGGAGTTGGCGTGCACCCATAAGGGGGATTAAATTAGCTGTTCCTACCAGTGGAAGCTGAACAAAGATTAAACAAGTGCAGTGAGTATTCCCCACTCCTCCCATGCCCTCAAATTGTATATGTGGGGGTCAGGAGAATCTCTGGAACAGCAGAGGTGGGACAGAGAAGGGAGATTGTTCCATCGCATAAGCAGAAATACTTGTGCTGATGGAGTGATCTGCTTAGCACTACCCTGAATTATTCCCATTGCTGGTTTTTTTTATTTTTTTTTATTATTATAAAGGACTACTTTCTGAAGGTTTTTTTTAAAATGAGTGTATGCTTGTGGAATAGTTTCATTTCATTTCGATTTATCTTTGTAAATTTTCAATGACTGAAAGCTGGGAGGAGGATCTTAGACTCCTCCTAAGCTCCGCTCCTAGGTTTGACACGGATAATAGTTGTCATGCATCTTTTCTGTGAGCACGCTTATGTCTGAATTGATCTTGTGAGCCTCTCCCATAGACAGAAGGGCAAGGCTTCAGAAGTAGTGTGGTGGGCATTTGTTTGTGAGGAAATGCTCCCATGTCTTCAGTGTAGTGCAAATCTTCCTTCCAGCTAGAGACTAGCGTGCAGATGGAAGCTGATCTGCAGACCCAGAAGGATATTGCCAATAATATTGAAGAGATAATTCAGCTGGATGGAACAGGTGATGTTTCTCCCAAGGCAGAAATAGAAAGCCCAAGAGATGGGGAAGATGAGGAACTTGTGGGCATCATTGATGCTGAAGATCTGAAGGTCCTGGATGAGGAAGAGGAAGAAGACGGTGAAAACAGTACCTCAGACAATCAATCTCTTAGCAGCAGTAGTGATGTGGATGAACCCTCGGTTGACATAATTGAGGAGGTAAAGCTTTCGATTCACTTGAAAATGACTTTCTTTTCACATCTGTGGCTGAGGCTGAAACTACACACGATATAAACTGCTTTCAGTTTCCTTTTTCTTTTTACAGTCAAGCGATGTATTAATTTTATGAAATAGATAAATGGCAGGAATCAGAGAGCAATTTCAAGGACCAAAAGGGGAAAGATATTATATCTTTATTCTTGTTTTGTTACTTGTGGACTTTGATGCCAATCCAGATTTGGGCACTTTGAGTCTTTGATACTCACCTGCATGCCATCCAGTTACATGATCTGCACTGCAGACATGAGCAATTGTGATGCCCCTGTTGGGGCGATGGCACCGATGAAAAATGTCTCTCCCCCTTTCATTCTTTTGCTGCATGAAAAGTCACGCTCTGCCCTGTAGATTGTCCCACCTGTTTTGCACATGCAGAAACTGAGATGGAGACATCCTCTGTGTTACAACAAACATGTCCTATGGCAGTATTTTGTGGTGGTTCCTCATAACACTTCCTCAAAATTCCAGATATACTTACACATCCCAGAGTGGCCACTATATCAACCCTTTGTGTTCTTGGAAGGCTGCTACCATAATAGAGTTGACCAGTTCTTCTTCTTGTTATTTAAGAAACATAGTTCAATGCCAATCAGGAAAAAAAAAACCTTTTCCTTTTTTAGGATCCTTTAAATTCTGGGGACGATGTCAGTGAGCAGGAGACACCAGATGTATTTGACACCGATAACATAATTGTATGCCAGTATGACAAGGTACAGTGAAGAATGCTTGCTAGTTAAATGGGCCTTTACAATTTAAGTCCTCCCAGCCCTGTTAAATGTTTGGGGAAAATGTAGCTGCCTCCCTTTTTCACATCTAACACAGACCTGGGTTTGCCATGCAGGGAGTTTCTCCACAGGCTGCCGCACCAATCATGTTTCCCTGTTGAAAGTTCCTATATGATGCATTTACACTTTGTGTCTTAAGTAAAACAACTTAGATGTGCGCTGGAACCAAATAATGTGGGAAGTGGACCTAGGAATAAATTAAGACCATTTTATCTGCTTTTTTGGGGGTATGGACTGCAAATACCATCAGTCCTTTCCATTGGCCATGTTGGCTGGAGCTGATGGGAGCTGCATATGGGAGCTGCCTAGTGGGTGGGAAGGAATGGAGTGTCCCTGGAAAAAGGTGTGGATGTCTGGAATCCTGAACAGCTCCCTGCCTTGCAAGGTTGCTTGTTCCACATGTAAGCTACTTTTTAAGTGTGCAGTGTAGATATTTCTGAGTGCTTCTGCTTTTAGTATATGAATTGTTTTTAATTGTTCAATATTTCCCGTTGCTTACCAAGGAAAGCAACTGTTATTTTAGTGGGATTTCAAGGCCCCAGTATACTGCTTTTTGTTTTTTACCAGGTTCAGCGGAGTAAGAACAGATGGAAGTTCTACTTGAAAGACGGCGTGATGTGCTTTGGGGGAAAGGACTACGTTTTTTCCAAAGCCATTGGAGATGCAGAATGGTGAAATGTACAAAAATATCCAGAGTGTTTTTTGGGTTTTTTTGTTCAACGTTCGGTAAGAATATACTGAAATGCTTGCCTTCCGAAATGTGAAATACAGCAATGTGAAAAGAGACTTCACATGAAAAACACATGTAAAAAATGAATAAATCCTACGTTAACAGTGATTGTGCATGGACCAGCTTTGCCTTTTGTGCACACACACAAATGTGGGTTATGCGGCTCGCTTAGCGCATCTGTTTGTGGCATCCCTGTTCTTTGATGCGAACCAAATCTCCAAGCCAGCTTGAGTTACGGAAGGCACTGTAACTTGGGGGCCTTGAGTCTCCCAGCAGTCAAAGCTTGTTGTTGTTGTTTAGTCGTTTAGTTGTGTCCAACTCTTCGTGACCCCATGGACCAGAGCACACCAGGCACTCCTGTCTTCCACTGCCTCACGCATTTTGGTCAAACTCATGTTGGTAGCTTCGAGAACACTATCCAACCATCTCGTCCTCTGTCATCCCCTTCTCCTTGTGCCCTCCATCTTTCCCAACATCAGGGTCCTTTCCAGGGAGTCTTCTCTTCTCATGAGGTGGCCAAAGTACTGGAGTCTCAGCTTCACTATCTGTCCTTCTAGTGAGCACTCAGGGCTGATTTCCTTCAGAATGGATAGGTTTGATCTTCTTGCAGTCCATGGGACTCTCAAGAGTCTCCTCCAGCATCATAATTCAAAAGCATCAATTCTTCGGCGATCAGCCTTCTTTATGGTCCAGCTCTCACTTCCATACATCACTACTGGGAAAACCATAGCTTTTACTATACAGACCTTTGTTGGCAAGGTGATGTCTCTGCAGTCAAAGCTACTAGAAGTTAGTGAAGCGGTCTACAGTGATTCTGTAGGGGAACTTGCACCCTTGGGGATTTCTGATTTGTTTGACTCTGTACACCACTTTCAGTTGCGCAGTGCTACGCTTACCTAGTATGGCCTTCCCCAAGCAGAAATGGGGAACCTGTTGCCCTCCCTATTGGGTCCCAGCTGCCGTCAGTCCCAGCCAGCGTAGCCAGTGGTCCAGGATGATGGGTGTTGTAGTCCAGCAACATCTGAAATACCTCAGGTTCCTCATCCCTGATTCTGATGAAGATGGTGAAGAGTTCTCCAGCTCTGTTGCACTCATGGCCTGTTTGCCAGTTTAAGGCATGCTTGAGTGCTGATGGCAACCAGCCTTGTGCAAAAGCCAAAGGCAAACCCTTCTAAGTGGGGGTTGCACATGAGGGAGCAAGACACAGTGATTTTTTGAAAACTAGCTGGCAAGCAACACTTCCAAAATAGCCAATCAAACATTGTTTACTAGGACATTGATAAACCAGACCAGGAGGCAGGGAAATTATGGGTGGTGTTCAGCTATGTTTTACCGAGAGCAGACCCGTTGAAATCAGTGTTCTGAACTTAGGTCATGTTCCTTAATTTCAGTAGGTATACTCTGAGTAAAATCTAGCTGCATACCACATGGTGTCACCACATGGCTTAACTGCATTAGGTTCCAGCATGTATTTAATCACTTGATTAGTAGAGTCAAGTCTTAGGCTACACCTTCTTACTTTGAAGTACTGAACTCATTGGGTAGTATTCAGTTATGTTGTACTCAGAGTAGAACCATGGAAATCAGAAATTGGTCAGACTCACTGACCAATTGTGCCATGGAAACATGGCTGACTTGGGTCCATTAATTTTAATGGATCTACTCTGAAGCTGAGTGCTACTGTTATGTATTCAGTGGTCTGTGTTTGCCTGAGCTTGAGTCTGGACCAGGGGTCAGCAAACTTTTTCAGCAGGGGGCCGGTCCACTGTCCCTCAGACCTTATGGGGGGCCGGACTATATTTTGGAAAAAAATATGAACGAATTCCTACGCCCCACAAATAACCCAGAGATGCATTTTAAATAAAAGGACACATTCTACTCATGTAAAAACATGCTGATTCCTGGACTGTCCGCGGGCTGGATTTAGAAGGCGATTGGGCCAGATCCGGCCCCTGGGCCTTAATTTGCCTACCCATGGTCTGGATTAAGGATTCTGAGCTCCTGTGCTCTGATTCGATACATGTTGTTCAATCACAGAACATTTCAGGATTTTGGCCTCTGCCATTGGCTGTTGAACTCTGAGTCATGTTTCACAGTTTGGAAGTGTAGACAACCAATCACGTTGGGAGTGGCCCAGGCTTTCAGAAATGTATATATGTAGTCGCTTTGCCTCTGTTTCCCAGTTATGTAGTTCAGTAAAGGTTCTTGCTGTTATCACTGTGTCTTGCCTTGTGGGAACCCACCTATACTTCAGCTACCTAAACGAGGCTCACTTCTGAGTAGGCATGCATCGGATTGCACTGTTAAATCTAAAAAATGCACCAGAGGAGTGAGACTGGTTGCATTTAAAATGCAGATACGGATTTAGGAGAAATGCGCCGAGAAAGCCACATCCACTTCACTTTAATTAATGCCATGTTGAAATGTATACTCACAAATTGAGCCAATTTGGTCCGTCTGAGCGTATGACTGTGAATATCTTCCGATCTTTACACAGTTTACTAAGGAACATGATGGATGGGAAGGGAAATAACCCATTTCATCTTATTACAATGCAGATCTCTTATTTCCAAGGCCAGATTCACTGCAACAATTAAGAACATGCTTGAGCATTAATGGATGTGTCTTTTGCATTTTTTGGTGTTTGGGGGTATAATTGTTTTTGACCCGGTTTGCTCTAATTATATTTATGTTTTGCTCCATTTAGAGTATAAATTAGAAGTGAATTATCTTCTTTCCTAGTTGACAATTAAATGCTTTGGGAAACTTGAATTCTTCTTTAAAACAAAAATAAAAAATCAGGACTGTTCTGTTGAGAGCTGAAATGCGGATAGTTTAATTAGCTTCTTAGGACAGTCACAGCATCCAGTTTAATCAGTTTTGAGAATGGCCCGATTCTGGCTTCAAGGTTGCCAACCTGATGCCAGAATGGCAACAAGCTTGTTTTCTTCTCCTCTGGAGGGTAGCACTTGAACCAGTGGCTTCAAATTACAAGAAAGGAGATTCTGACTAAACACCAGGAACAATTTCCTGATAGCAAGGGCTGTTTGGCAGTGGAATGGTCTCCCTTGGGAGGCCGTAGACTCTTCTTCCTTGGGGGGGTTTTAAGCAGAGGCTGGAGGGCTATCTGTCATGGATGCTTAAGCTGAGATTCCTGCATTGCAGGGGGTTGGACTAGATGACCCTTGAGGTCCCTTCCAATTCTAAAATTCTATGCAGTGGCAGAGAGCAGGCGGGGGCAAGGCTGGTGCATGTCCCGAGGGCGGTGTGCGCCATCCAAAGGGGCGTGTGTGCATTCTGGGGGCATGGCACGCCACCTGCGGGGGTGGGGCGCCCAGCGTGGGCGGGGGGGGGCAGCCGTGATGGATCACGCTGCCAGGGGCGGTGTGCTCCCTCTGCTCCCCCTCTTCCTCCGCCAGTGATTCTATGTTTCTGGGAAGCAGGACATGAACACAGTAACACTCTCTCACTTGTTATCCCCAGCAGCTAGCGTTCAGTAATAGTACAGTGGTACATCGGGTTACATATGCTTCAGGTTACATATGGTTCAGGTTACAGACTCTGCTAACCCAGAAATAGTCCTTCAGGTTAAGAACTTTGCTTCAGGATGAGAACAGAAATCGGGCTCTGGCGGCTCGGCAGCAGTAGGAGGCCCCATTAGCTAAAGTGGTGCTTCAGGTTAAGAACAGTTTCAGGTTAAGTACGGACCTCCGGAATGAATTAAGTACTTAACCTGAGGTACCACTGTAATCTGATTACTGAGGATTTACCTGGATTTATCTGGATTTGCTTGTACCTCGGGTTAAGAACTTAATTCGTTCTGGAGGTCCATTCTTAACCTGAAAGTGTTCTTAACCTGAGGTACTACTTTAGCTAATGGGGCCTCCCGCTGCCGCGCAATATCTGTTCTCATCCTGAAGCAAGGTTCTTAAGCCGAGGGACTATTTCTGGGTTAGCGGAGTCTGTAACCTGAAGTGTCTGTAACCTGAAGCGTCTGTAACCCGAGGTACCACTGCATAAAGTTTAGACAGAAGGTTGGACCATGGGCCTATTCAGTTTAATGTGGATTGTGAACACCTTGAGCCTCTTTTAATCAATGTTGCTCTTCTCCATTTAAAGGGGAGAAAGTTGTAGCTGGAGGAGGACGCCACATGGATGAGGGGAAATTAAAGGAGGCGTTAGGGGTTCACAAGATGCTAATTTGATCCAAAAAGCTCTCCACCCTACCCCACACATACAAACAAGCCACACTACATCCAGCTAAATGCAACCAACCAACTTTGGTCCTCCGATCTCTCATAATGCCAATAAAAATAAGTAAATATATAAACAAAGGACCTACCCATGTGATGCTGAAAGAAAAGCCCGGCACAATCCCTATGCAATAGATTACTAGAATGAAAGATCATTATCTGCAAACTCCCTCCCTCCCTCTCTCTTTCCCTGCAACAGCACAATATCTATGACAAATAAGTCTCATACTGAATGTAAACGAACTGTGAAAAAGACTCGTACGTTTTGAAAGTGGGGATGCTATATATGCTTTTCCTTGTTTGTTTGGTAACACAAGAAAATCTTTAATAAAAGCTAATTAAGAAAGCAAAGCAAAACAAAACATGGCACATCAAACCAAGGTATGGATGGGCTCACTAAATACCTTTAGTGAGTATTTGTGTTGCTTCGTTTGGATCTGGGAGACCTGAGTTCTAGTCCTCCCCCAGCCAGGAAGCGCATTGGGTGATCACCCTCTCTCAACCTAACCTTCCTCATAGATTTGTAAAATATAAATGTAATGAATGAAATTAATATTCTGAGTGGGGAATTCCCATACCCCTCACTCCAGAATTTTATTAGACTGAAAGCACAAGCAAGATGGAGTTCTGTATATTCCGCAGCTGCAAAACACTCAAAATGGATCATTATTCTGCTGTTGCGGCAGGTTATCAGAAACAGGAAACAGATCTTATCGGCAGTTTCCTTAACGGTGGCATTAAAACTTTTAAAGTTCCCGGTTGAGAAATCGATGGAGGCATAATTAACTCTGATTTACGTTCTGAAGGCATTTGTATTCCTGCATTAAGGACATGTTCCATTATGTTATCTACAGAAGTGTCGATTCATTCTCCGGCGAGCCCATGCAAAGTGTCTCGCTAATTTCCTCCTTTTCTATAGTCATAAACTGGGAGCGTTTCAGCGCCATGCATCATCTTGGATTGGAAAGAAATGGCTTGCTAATTTCTTCCGCGAGCGGGGCTGCAAGCTTCCAGGCTGATTTAACCAGAAAATAATAATCAAAACTGAAAGTGTAATAACATTGTAATGAGATTATAGGTGTGTTTTGCAAATAAAGGCTCGAGGCTTGGCAATGAGGAGGGGAGGAAATGTGTAAGAACCAAAGACCGCATTTGGTTTTTTATGACAGAATGAAATCTATATTTTCATTAAGGTTGCTATGATAAGTGAAATTGATACCCCCTCTCACACACTCCCCTACTGGAGAAAAATCAGGGCAGCATTACCATATTTCATTTTCTTTGGATGGGAGAGTACTGGAGACTTATTTACAGAGCATTTAGGATCCACTAGTAGTGTGTTCTGCAACAAAATGTTGCAGTGTGGCGTGCTCCTTGTTCACGATTTCATCCATTCCCCCTACAGTCTGAATTCCATGGTTACTGAGCATGTTCACTGAGCTGTTTTGAGGCTTCCCCCTCCCTTGAGTAGAGCGGGATGGGTTTGTACTTAAAAAAAGAAAAAGAAAATATCTTTTGTTGGAAGATTTTTGTTGACATTTGAGAATTCTCAGAAGCTTCTGGTGGAGAGAAATGCCACTTAGAGGAAATAAAGGAGATGGAGACAAAAACCACTTGTTGTAATGAGCAGGGTGATTATCTGAGCCTTAAATTCCAAGGCAAGTTAAATTAAGGAAATAAATTTCACTGTTGTTTAGCAAACTGATGGAAAAATAAGAGATTTCGAGTCAAGGCAGACATCCTGGAGTTGCAGCCGTCTCTGTCTGTCTCCTGTGGATGAAGCACCTAAGAAGCTCAGAAGAGTCGGGCTGCGTCAGATCAAAGACCTGCTCAGTTCGGCATTCTGTTTCTACGGTGGCCAACCAGATCCCCTGCACGGGATCCCCAGCATCTCCTGGACATCCCATGAAGCTGAACGTGGGAAGATTCAGGACGTCGTCATGTTGCACATCATTAAACTACAGAACTACTAAACCACAGGAGGAAGTGACGGCCACCAATTTGGATGGCTTTAAAAGAGAATTAGGGACGCGGGTGGCGCTGTGGGTAAAACCTCAGCACCTAGGGCTTGCCAATCGCATGGTCGGCGGTTCGAATCCCCACGGCGGGGTGAGCTCCCGTCTTTCGGTCCCAGCTCCTGCCCACCTAGCAGTTCGAAAGCACTCGTAAGTGCAAGTAGATAAATAGGTACCGCTTTATAGCGGGAAGGTAAACGGCGTTTCCGTGTGCTGCACTGGAGCTGGCTCACCAGAGCAGCTTCGTCACGCTGGCCACGTGACCTGGAAGTGTCTCCGGACAGTGCTGGCCCCTGGCCTCTTAAGTGAGATGGGCGCACAACCCTAGAGTCGGACACGACTGGCCCGTACGGGCAGGGGTACCTTTACCTTTACCTTTTAAAAAGAGAATTGGACCAATTCACGGAGAAGGCTGCCAATGGCACTGATAGCTATGTGTGGTGTAGTGGTTAAGAGCGGTGGACTCGTAATCTGGGGAACCGAGTTCGCCTCCCCGCTCTTCCACATGCAGCTGCTGGGTGACCTTGGGCCAGTCACACTTCTTTGAAGTCTCTCTGCCCCACTCACCTCACAGAGCGCTTGTTGTGGGGGAGGAAGGGAAAGGAGATTGTTAGCCACTTTGAGACTTCTTAGGGTAGTGATAAAATGGGATATCAAATCCAAACTCCTCCTCTTCTTCTTGCCTCCATGTTCGAAGGCAGCAATGCTTCTGAATACCACTGGCTGGGAATCGCAGGTGGGCAAAATGCCGACACGCTAATGGTCTCCTTGACGGCTTCCCAGGCGCACCTGGTTGGCCACCGTGGGAACAGGATGCTGGACTAGTTGGGCCACTGGCCTGATCCTGCAGGTTCTTGTGTTCTTATGGTATTCACATGGCCTCTGAGATTGGAGGTAATGTAGTCCTCATGACTAGTGTAGCGTTTGTACGGAGCTCCCAGTCGTCTCATGGACTATTGACTCGTACACCACTCATCTGCTGCCACCAACCAGGTCCTCCCCGGTAAATCACTTAGTCTCAGTCAGGTTCTCAAGTTAACAATGAAGAGTGTAGTTTATTGCAATCGCAAATAAACTTTAAATGCATTTGAAACGCTGTTACCTTTTACCCTCTTAGTCTTATTTTATCCTGTTTCTAACTCTTCTACCTCCCCTCACACAAGAACCAACTGCACTAACTGTCTCTCTGTTTCCAACGGTCTGCCAACTGCTTTCCCAACTGCCTTTCCCAACCAACCAACCAACCAACCAACCAACCAACCAACTAAAACCAACCAACCCAAACCTCGGGCTAAGCCCTTTTATAAACAGGTAGGCTCCGCCTCTGGCTTTTCTATTGATCTACCTATTAACTCTTTCTCTCCCCCTGTACAGATATTTCCAAAAGAACGGGCAAACGCCACAACTAGTAGCTACTGATAGACTTAACCTCCATGTGTTTGTCTCATCCTCCTTTAAGGCCATCACTACATATTGTGGCAAATCCCTTAGTTTAGGGATCCCGTGAGATGAAGTACTTCTTTTTGTCTGCCCTGAATCCATCTGAATCCATCTGGGACCACGCTGGCTGGGAACATAGGAACAGCACAGGAACCTGCCATATACTGGATCAGACCATTGGTCCATCCAGTTCGGCACACCCAGTGGTGACTAGAAGCAACTCTCCTGCATTTCAGGCAGGGGGACATTCCCAACCCTATTTGGAAAGGCCGGGAATTGAACCAAAGACCAGTCCGGCAGTTCCTTCTGCCATATAAAAGCGCAGGCTTACCTTGAACCCAAATACATAATCCAGACCAGCTTCCCCATAGTGATATAACAGCAGCCTTTAAGCCACTGTGGGGAAAAGAGGTGGGTTGTCAGACTTCGGGGAATCGGCTCTCCCGCCCCCCCTTGCTTACAAATCGTTTAGCCTTTCCAAATGCTCCACTGTATATTTCCTTCTAGTCTGTGGGGAACGAAAATGATTACATGTTTAATCAGCGCATGGCACCCCACAACGTGATTAGATTTCCCTTTGCTAATTTTTCAGCGGAGGCTTAATAGCCGCTTGTGATAACGAGAGCTCCTATTAACAGCGTTTTCGTGGGTTCCTATATAATAAGCCACAGTACTGAAATTAAAACCCAGCTACACTTACAATTATTGCTGGAGATGCATTTTGTTCCCTTTTTAAAGATAAATCAATCAATCCAAGGACATTTTCACAATGATGCTAAGAATATTTTTAAAAATCTGGAATGTGTTACTCATATATCCATATATAATGTTTGAAAACTACGCTGTGGACAAAGCTGGGTTCCAGTAAGTGTGACATTCTTATAATATGGCAGACCTGGTTTCAGGCAGTTGGATTTCAGCAATTCTAGTCCAGCCAAGACAGAACTCAATGAGGTCATAAGAACATAAGAAAGGCTCAGACCAAAGGCCCACCTAGTCTAGCATCCTCTTCTCACAGTGGCCAACCAGTTGTCTGGTTCCTCGGGAAGAGGAATTGGCTGTTAAAGCCCTAAACGGCCTCGGCCCAGTATACCGTATTTTTCGCTCCATAAGACGCACTTTTTTCCTCCTAAAAAGTAAGGGGAAATGTGAGTGTGTCTTATGGAGTGAATGGCGCTGCGCAGAGAGGGAGAGCTGCGCAGTGCCCCTTCAGCGAAGCACCTCTCCTGGCTTGTGCCTTAGCCGCATGCAGCCTCTTCGGGCAGGGGGAGCTGCGCAGTGATCCCGCTTGCTGTTCTGGCTTCTGAGATTCAGATTATTTTTTTTCTTGTTTTCCTCCTCCCAAAACTAGGTGCACCTTATGGTCTGGTGCGTCTTATGGAGCGAAAAATACGGTACCTGAAGGAGCATCTCCACCCCCATCGTTCAGCCCAGACACTGAGGTCCAGCTCTGAGGGGCTTCTGGTGGTTCCCTCACTGCGAGAAGCCAAGTTACAGGGAACCAGGCAGAGGGCCTTCTCGGTAGTGGCACACACCCTGTGGAACACCCTCCCACCAGATGTCAAGGAAATAAACAACTATCCGACTTTTAGAAGACATCTGAAGGCAGTCCTGTTTAGGGAAGTTTTTAATGTTTGATGTTTTATCGTGTTTTTAATATTCTGTTGGGAGCCGCCCAGAGTGGCTCCGGAAACCCAGCCAGATGGGTGGGGTATGAATGAATGAATAAAATAAAATAAAAATAATAAAGTAATAATTTTAAGCCACTCTGGGAATTGTAGCCCTGTTAGGTGAATAGGGGTCTCCTAACAACTCGTGGCACCCATAACAAGCTGCACTTTCCAGGATTCTATGGGATTTACTTAAAGTGGGATAATACTGCTTTAAATATACGATGCAGATGGAGCCGCAGTGTGGAGGGGCTCTTAATGATGGCCTTAATACTGGACTTAATGGTATAAAGCCCTCTGCCTTTTCATAAAGTGCATTTCTTCACATCAAAGTGTGGTGAGCTACCCCTGTTGGGTTTGTAGGCTCTCCCACTCAGCCTAACCTAAGGGCACCACTGCCTATAGGTATAACATGGGGAAATGTTTGGGCTCCAGCCCTTGGGAGAGAGTGGGAACAAAACGTAACTGAAACAAAGATGGCCTGGACACATCGATTCCAGACGCTCCAAGTGTCCCTGTTTTCCAGGGACAGTCCCGGATTTACAGAAACCATCCTGGTTTCTGATGTGACCCCTGAATGTCCTGCTTTTCCTTAGGACGTCCCTATTTTCACTGGAGAAATGTTGGAGGGTGTTAAGTTATGTGACCCCTGAGCCTTTGGAAGACACCTGAAGGCAGCTCTGTATAGGGAAGTATTTAATGTTTAATGTTTTGTTATGTTTTTACATATGCTGGAATCTGCCCAGAGTGGCTGGGGCAACCCAGTCAGATGGGCAGGGTATAAATAAAATAAAATAAAAATAAATTAAAAAATAGGGTGTCCCTATTTTCATTGGATAAATGTTGGAGGGTACGTGATTTGGATCTCAGATCACTAGAGTGGCACAGTTTTGGCACATGTGTGCATTTGATATGGTAATACACCCCCCACTCTCAATGCCTAAAAATCTGCTTTATTCACTGTTGCCAAACACAATCCAGAGCTCTGGCAGAAACAGAGTTTTCTAAATTGCTTGTGCAATACCTAAATTAAAAAACAAACAAACCCGAACCAAAGAGTGGGATGTGGGTGGGGGTGGGGGGCTTGATCAGTTCAGGCGGGTATAAAAATGCCTCGTTCTTCACGTGGCTGAAGTCTCATCGTTATTAAAGCTCTCCCAGCAATAACAGAACATGATGAGAGCAACTCAGGTAAATAAAAATCGCGGGAATTTCCCCAGGGGAAAGACTTCAGCTGCGACAAGCTCTCCAGAAGCTGCTTTTGTAATTCTTGCAGCATTTTTTGAGTTTGCAAGGTGCCAGGTATTGTTTCCTTTTATTTGAAAAAATAAAATGCTGTCAGTACATAGGAAGTTGCTGCCGGGTTGCCAATTGGCCAGAAAAAAAACAGCCTCTACTCCTTTTCCTCTAATGGAAGTTTGATACGCAGAAGTCAGCAAGAGATGCTGTTCATGGCATGGGTGGTTTCTTGTTGTAGGTGCCGTTTTGTTTCCTCCCTTCTTGTTTTTCTTTTTCTTTTGTTTCAAGAAATCTGCTGGACCAAATCAGACAAATGATTGCTATAGCTCAGTACTATCTCCAGTCAGGGATGTAAGGCGGCAAGCAGTTTCTTTTTCTGACTTGTATTCCTCACATTCAGCTCACTGCTAATGAATGTATGTTACAATGCAAATGAAACATCAGAACAATGTAAAAATGTTATTAAGTGCGTAGTCTTTGCAGACTTAAAAATGACAACAATGTAAACAAATAATGATGATGATGATGATAATGATAATAATAATAATAATAATAATAATAATAATAATAATAATTTATTATTTGTACCCCGCCCATCTGGCTGGGTTTCCCCAGCCACTCTGTGCGGCTTCCAACAAAGATTAAAAATACATCAAAATGTCACACATTAAACACTTCCCTGAACAGGGCTGCCTTCAGATGTCTTCTAAATGTCAGGTAGTTGTTTATCTCTTTGACATCTGATGGGAGAGCATTCCACAGGGCGGGCGCCACTACCGAGAAGGCCCTCTGCCTGGTTCCCTGTAGCTTTGCTTCTTGCAGTGAGGGAACCGGCAGAAGGCCCTCGGTGCTGGACCTCAGTGTCCGGGCAGAATGATGGGGGAAGAGACGCTCCTTCAGGTATACTGGGGAGGGAGCCGGTGTTTGTCCACAGAGAACTTTCTGGGTCATGTGGCCAGCATGACTAAACTGCTTTTGGTGAAATGGAACACCATGATGGAAACCAGAGCGCACGGAAACGCTATTTACCTTCCTGCCGGAGCGGTACCTATTTATCTACTTGCACTGGTGTGCTTTCGAACTGCTAGGTTGGCAGGAGCTGGGACTGAGCAATGGGAGCTCACCCCGTCGTGGGGCTTTGAACCTCTGACTTTCCAATTGGTAAGCCCAAGACACTCAGTGGTTTAGACCCCAGCGCCACCCCATGGTCACCAGGCCTGGCTTGGTATGCCTCCAACAAATGAGGGGGCTGAGGAAGCAGAGCACAGCACTGTTCAATGGCAGGCTCCTCCTGGGCACAAGAAAGGAAGCTGCACTGGGCTGGGCTCCCTGCTCAGCCCCCTCCTGATAATGCAACGCCGTGCCCATGACGTCATGCGTGTGCCATATGTTTGCCTCTGGTCTACACTGACTGGCAGCAGCTCTCAGGGGTTTCAAACAGAAGGCCTTCCCAGTCCAGTATACCTGTCCAGTCCAGTATTCCCAGTCCTACTCAGAGATGCTGAGGAATGAACCTAGGACTTTCTGCATTTGACCATCTTGAATTTTTCAACTTTCAGATTCCAACTTTCAGGTTCCAAAAACAAGGGGTACTAAAAAGTTGTAACGTGATTTGGGAATTCAAAATATATTTTGGCTCAATTAATACAGTGGTACCTCGGGTTAAGTACTTAATTTGTTCTAGAGGTCTGTTCTTAACCTGAAACTGTTCTTAACCTGAAGCACCACTTTAGCTAGTGGGGCTGCCTGCTGCCACTGCTCAATTTCTCTCCTTATCCTGAAGCAAAGTTCTTAACCTGAGGTAATATTTCTGGGTTAGTGGAGTCTGTAACCTGAAGCGTATGTAACCTGAAGAGTATGTAACCCGAGATACCACTGTATAATTTAGTTTTGCTTGGTAAGTGAAATGTGTGTAAAACTGCATAGAAATCATTAACAACAATTGCCAAGTTGAGTCGTCGTCGTCTTCTTCTTCTTCTTCTTCTTCTTCTTCTTCTTCTTCTTCTTCTTCTTCTTCCTCAGCATTGACTGGCCATTTTCAGAAGGATTTTTTTTAAAAAAATGGTTTTCCAAAAGCAGTTTATGTGCTTCTTCATCAAACGTAGCCTTACCAAACTAAATGTTGTCCAATCACAAAAATAATAGCAGATTTTAATTCCTTCCACCCAGAAACATATTTTTAAGACCTCTCACTGAAGAAATGTACAAAAAATATGTTTTACCCCCTAAACGACACACCCTACTTCTGCATGCAAAGCGGACCCCCCACAATCGAGCTACAACTCTTTCGTTCTTCCCTCTCATTACAATTTCCTTTTCTGTATAAGTTGCTCAGGGCTGCCAAGGGCTAGACAAAATTGTTCTAGTGATTGTATATAGTCCTTGGTCGGCTGGTTGGTGTGCCCTGATTTAAATTATGCCTTGCAGTCTTAAGCAGAAGTTTTATAACCCACCCCCTGCCCAAATAAATCCTTTCACCACTGCTTCACCCAAGCAGTTTTGAAAATGTCAGGAAAGTTGAGAAATAGCAATGCATTCTAGTTACTAGTTATGCCAAGCAGAATTAAGCGTTTCAGGGTTATCTGCCATGAAACACAACTGTATGCTGACCTAACCAAGATAAATGAGACCCCCAAACCTCATATCGAAACTCTTAATATTCTGCCCTGCAGTGTTTCAATAAGGTCTTTGCTGATGAGACATTTAAATAAACGCTGAACATGCTTCTCAAGAAAAATAATAACAATGATAGCTTAAATTCTATTATGGGAGAAAGGAGATTAACCAGAATTTCTTGCCATCTTCACGTATTTGGGCTTGCAAGCTTAAAAGACCCAGGCAAGCAAGGGCACAGAGTCAGCCTCAGCGCTGAATGCATCCTGTCCACAACCTCGTGCAGTGGTACCTCTGGTTACATACTTAATTCGTTCCGGAGGTCCGTTCTTAACCTGAAACTGTTCTTAACCTGAAGCACCACTTTAGCTAATGGGGCCTTCTGCTGCCACTGCGCCGCTGGAGCACGATTTCTGTTCTCATCCTGAAGCAAAGTTCTTAACCCGAGGTACTATTTCTGGGTTAGCGGAGTCTGTAACCTGAAGCATATGTAACCTGAAGCGTATGTAACCCGAGGTACCACTGTACTCCCAAACTATGAACCTCCTTCCCTCATCCACACACCTAATTCCTGAACGCAGAAAACACCCATCCACAGCACTGCCATCTTATCAGGATTCAGCCTCAGGTTCCAAGTCCTCACCCAGCCCTTCACTGACCATAATAAATCACACAGAGTAAAAGAAGTTAACTCTTTATTAGAGGAAACAAGGTCTGCTCAGGAGTGGCAGGTCTCTTGAGTGTAGCAACTCTTCTCCATAGGTCTGTCCCCTATGTGGCTGTTGTGGAGACTGAAGGTCCCAGCCTTCCCACAGCTGCCTAAGTCTCCTCCTTCCCCGGGTCCTTCCCAAGCAATCTGAGACTATGCCAGCACATCTACCTTTGCTCTTCCCACTTCATACCTCACCTGGTTCTGGGAGACCAGCAGGGAGGGGAGTTTATCGCAGCAGGAGTGGGAGACAACCCTGGCTTCTTCACCAGCCTGACTCATCTTTGCTTCTTGGGCTCCCTCCTTTCAGCTTCCAACACCTCCTTCCTGCAGGCTTCTCTCTCTTCTCCTTCTGACTGCTCAGTGTCACCCCACTACCATCCCCCAGGCTCTGAACCTTCTTCCCTTGGGGGTTCCCCAGCTGATGCCTCTGTGTCCAGCCATCCCCAGAAGAACTGCCTCCAGACCCTGGTCCAACACCTTCACAGCATCTCCTGATTCAGAAGGAATGGAGAAATAGAACCATGTGTCATCAGCATACTGGTTGCCCCATGCTCCAAACCCCTGAATGATGGCTCCTAGTGGTTCCATATATATGTTAAATAGCAAATGAGACAAAATGGACCCTTGTGGGAACCCCACAGCCCCAAAGCCATGCAGCTGAGCAACCAACTCCTTGAATTACTTTCTGGTAGCAACCCTGTGGACAGGAGAAGAACCACTGTCATACTTGTGGTGGCTATATGAGAATGGGCCTTTTCTGTAGTGGCTCCCTGTTTGTGGAATGCTCTCCCTAGGGAAGTTCATCTGGTGCCTTCATTGTCTATCTTTAGCCACCAGGCAAAAACGTTCCTCTTCAACCAGGCCTTTGACTGATTTATGTCTTGTTAAATGTGTTTGTGTCTGTGCTTATGTGTGATTATTGGTTGTTTTTGTTTTCCTTATATACTTTGTGGTTTTGTTCTATATTTTTATATTGTGGACTGCCCTGAGAACTTCAAATGAAGGCCAGTATAGAAATAATAATAATAATAATAATAATAATAATAATAATAATACAGTGGACGCTTGGGTTGTGAACGTGATCTGTGCGGGAAGCACGTTTGCAACCCGCAGCGCCGTGTCTTGTATTGTATTTTGTTATGAGCTGCCATAGGCTGCTATGGGAGAATGGACAGTACAGTGGTACCTCAGGTTACATACGCTTCAGGTTACATATGCTTCAGGTTACAGACTCCGCTAACTCAGAAATAGTACCTCGGGTTTAAACCTTTGCTTCAGGATGAGAACAGAAATCGTGCTCCGTCGGTGCAGCGGAAGCAGGAGGCCCCATTAGCTAAAGTGGTGCTTCGGGTTAAAAACAGTTTCAGGTTAAGAACGGACCTCTGGAACGAATTAAGTACTTAACCCGAGGTACCACTGTAGAATAGAATAGAATAGAATAGAATAGAATAATATTTCCCCAGCACACACTGGATGGATGAAGACAAGGGTACCCCTGAACATGTTAAAAAGGCTTTCTCCCCCCCAACCATGGATTCCCCCACAGCCAGCTACATTACATCTGGAGCCAATGGGCAGGCTCAGCATTTTCTCCTCATAAATCAGATCTGCACAACTTGCGGCCTGCCAAGCTGAACGCAGACCAAGCCGCAGCTCAGCAGGCAGTTCCATAAACCTCCTATGGGCGAGGTTTGGTCCAGTGGGTCACAGATTGTGTAGGGCAGTCATAACCGAAGCAGCAGCTCAGAAAGACCACATTATAGCAAACCTTTACACTATTCCTGAGTTCCCCCCGTCTCCCTCTCTCTTTTGAATCACCTATTCTGTTTTAATAAGTAGCGAAATTAATTTATATTCTGACCTTGCAATGGTTGTGATCTGCAATATTTTCACTTTGTTCTGTTCTGCTTGGCGTACTGCTACCCTCCGTCCCCCATTACTGCTGAGCTAATCTGATGGATGTGCTGCATAATTCCATTTAGCATGTCCTTTCGGTCTCAATTCTCTTTTCCCTTTGAAATCCTAGACATTTCAGTGAATATGAAAGCGTAGCTATATGTAGGGCAAACGGTGCCCTTTCAAGCCTTCTTTTGCTAGGAGCACACTGCTTCCTCTCAAAAGCAGACAGCTTTGCAGGGAGACAGAGGCGTAGATCACCCGTTGTTGTTGGATGAGGGCAGGGGGAGGGAGCTGCTATTCAGCAATTAACATTTGTTTAAATATTTTGAATTGAGCAAAAGCTGAAGACTAGAAACATGAATTTCCCTCACTACTTCGTCAATCAAGACAAAGGGCTGCGTGCCATCTTCCACAGTAGAAGGCTGTGCACACGCTATGCCTTTAAAACACACTCCTCCCCTCAAAGCATTCTGGGCACTGTAGTTTCTTAAGTGTTGCTGGGAATTATAACTCTGGGAGGGGTTGTGATGTTAACATATGAGAGTGCTGGAGGTGAAATAGTTAAACAGGTTACCCAATCAGAACCCAGGGGGTGGAGTCAGAGGGACTATAAAACCAGCTCCGGGAGGGGCGAAGGGAGGAGTTTGTTGGGTGGTTGGTTGGAGTGGGAATGAATTGGGATAGAGCCTGTGGGTAGGTTGAGTTAGTGTAGCGAAATAAGCTGAGTCAGGAACAGTTAGGGGCTAGGAAGACAAGTAAATATCTGAGAGGTGGTTTAGTGAGTGAGAGCAGGTAGAGGAAGTTATAGGTCTGGATAGGCACCCCATGATTGTAATTGACCGATACCGTTTATGAAACCACACGCTTGTTAAACTGCAATAAATAAACAGAAGTTTATGTTCCAATTTAACCCTGACTGGACTCAGTATTGTACCAGGTAGGGCCTGGGTGGTGGCAGCAAGAAATAAAGTGGTGGCACAGGGATCAATAGACGGTGAAACGTCCAGGGACCCTGTGTGATCGCCACAGGGATAAACTACAGTGCCCAGAAGTCTGTGAGGCAAAGAACATGCAAATGTGCCAGTGTGGTATATATGAACGACATCTTGAGCTTCTTGGAGGAAAAGCTGGGATAGAAATGAATAAATATACCCCCCCACTCAACCAAGGCCTGAATCCACCCCCATGGGCCCGATGTGGCTCATGTCTCTGGCCTTTGCCCGATCCCGCACACAGCCCTAAATTCTGCTGCTCTCCTCCGTATACTAAATTCAGAAGCCAATTTGACTGAAGTCAGTGGGGTTTGCTTCCAAATGTTCCAAATGAATCCCATTGGTGGGGAAAGATGAATTATTCCAGCCACTCAAGAACTGGGACAAGTCCCTTGAAACACGGCGTCTGGTGCCACTAGGAGATGTAAGCTTATTCCCCCCGCCCTTCCTAAAATTCACTTCCCTAAGCCCTCGCTATTCCTGCTTGTTGTAAGCATTCGTTTTATTCATAATTCAAGCAAAGTGTGTGGGTGGGGTGGGGGACGACGACACCCCTCCAAGAGTCTTATCTGGATGCATTCCATTTATTATGCATTTGAGGAGTTTGCTTAAGATGCTGAACACACAAAAGACTGATAAATGAGAACATGTTGGGCTCGCTAAGAAATGTAGCTAATAAGGAGCAGATTAGATAATCCATTTCTTTCTGCGGCAGGGCAGCAACTCCTGCAACAGATCCAGCTCTTCCATCATTTACTTCCAAGTAAGTCCCACAAAAATCAGCGAGACTTACTTCTGAGTAAAGAAGCTTATTCCTTTGAAATTTTTTGTGTGTGTGTATATACACATACACACACTGCTTAGGGAAGTTAAATAGTTTTGATGGAAACTGGAGCAAAAATTTGCTTATTTGCCCCAGCATGGAAAGCCATCTTGCATTCGCTGTTTTTTTCTTTTCCAGTCTGCAGACAATATGTAATTTATGAGTCCCCCCCCCCCCCCAATTTGCACTGTGTTTCCTTTCCATTGAAAGGAATAGGGTGGAATAATGTGGTAATGTTACAGCAAATGATGTGAAATTCTGCCACAGGCAAGGCTAATAACATAGTTTTTGCCGGAAACTGCAGCAGAATGGAAACAGGGAGGAAGAAAGTAGGAATGGAAATGGATGCCTATTTACATTTGTAATAATACTGATTATTTTAGCTGCTTTCAGTACCATCAGCCATTGTATGCTTCTGGGTCACCTTGTCAGAATAAAGCTTGGAGGCTCAGTCCTTTCATAGAATCATAGAACTGTAGAATTTGGAAGGGACACTGGGGGTCATTTCATCCAACCCTCTGCAATCCAGGAATTCTGCTCACAGCCATCCTTGGGTGGACTCAAACCACCAAACATCTGGTTAACAGCCAGACACACTGACCCATTGCTGCACCGGGCATTCCCAGAAGGCAGTGCTGGGAGTCACTTTCCCCGCCCTGTGGTTTTGGGCTTAGTCAAATCACACCTCTTTGCATTTTTCAGATTTCTAATTGGCCGCAGGGGCTTGTCCGGTCGATAGGCACCTTCCAGACTGTCACCGTTTTCAAGTAGGGTTCAGTCACATACCAACCAATTTGGGTTGTGCAATTACACTCGTTTGGGGACATTGCCATGAAGTGAAAAGTTTCCTGTTGTTTGTGCGGTTTGAGCATATTACATAGATACTGCCTCAACTGCACTGACTGCCAATTAGTTTTGGGGTGTGCTGCTTTTGACTTATAAAGCCTTAAACAGCCCAGAAGCGCAATACCTCAAGGACTGCCTCTCCCATATGAACCGACCCAGACCCTGAGATCTGTGGGATGTGAAACACAAGAGCAGTCAAGTACAGCATTCCTAGAGTGAACATGTTTACACATGGAGAGGAATGTTTGTCCAGCCAGCAGGTAAACTTCCTGTTTCCTTCTGGGCTGGGACAGACTTCCTCTGCATGTGACTAGGGGTGGGTGTGGCCTCACCTGTTCAGGTAACGACAAAAGCACAGGGCAGGGCAGCCATCTCTCTCTCTTTGACTACATGTGACAAAGAAGCGACATCTGCTTAGTCAAAGATGCTCTCTTGGCCTCCAGCCAAGAGAGGACAAATGACCTGTCTCCTTATGAGATAGTTTCCAGGGGTATGCTACTTTTCTAAGCTAAGTCTGCCTTCTAGGATCCAACTGTAAACAGAATGTGAGTAAACTCTTTTTATACTTTTATAGAAGACTGTGTTGTGTCTTATCTTTTATGAGCGAATAAGGGGAAAATACCAGAACAGTTATTATAGAGGCTTTAGCGAGCCTGAGCAAACGCATCTGCTGTGAGTTTAAAAAGGGGAATGTTACTCTGCTAAATTATGAGCTTGTTAACACAAGTTGGAAAGGCTATAATCAAACAATATATCCTCTCCTGTATCCCTGAACATTCCCACAAGATCATCTTCTGAGGCCCTTCTTTGTGTGCCTCCTCCATGAGAGGTCTGGAGCGTGGCAACACAAGTGTGAGCCTTCTCTGTAGTGGCGCCTTCATCATATACTTTTAGGTGTCAGGTGAAAATGTTCCTTTTCAACCCGGCCTTTGGCTGATTAATAGTCTACAGCCTTTTAAATGTGCCTGTGGGAAGGGAGTTATCGTTTTGCTCTTTCGTTTTGTTTATTTACCTGTTTTTATCCTGCATTTTATTCTGTGAACTGACCTGAGATCTTCTGATGAGGGGCGGTATAGAAATCTAATAAATAAATCAATAATAAATAAATCAAACCGTAAGGGTAGGCCACAGAGCTCTGCAAGAGCCACTGATATCTGCGAGTCTGGTTTTGCCATCATGAGGCATCTTTACCTGATGCACACCTGATGCCAGGTGTAGGGTGAGTGGGTGTGGCTTGGGAAAAGTGGCTTTATGGGCCAAATCATGAACCCTGCCAGGCCAAAGAGGCCACAGGCAGAGGTTCTCCACCAATGCCTTAAAATCAAGGATGGGGAATCTGTGGGCCTCCAAGTATTGCTGGACTCCAATTCCCATCAGCCCCAGCCAGCATGCCCACTGATGAGCAATGATGGGGGTTGTAGTCCAACAATAGCTGGAGAACTAGAGGTTCCTCATTGCTGCCTTAGCTGGATACTGCCCTGTCCCCTTTTAAAATGTTTCCCCTCTCTCTAACTTTACAACAACCGCTTTAACACACAGTAAATTCTTGATCCTTCTCTCTCCCTCCCTCACTCCCGTCCTTCTATACATTTTTTGGTTGGCTCGGATCACACTGACCTAATTCTATCCATCAACTCCTTGCCTCCTCCCGAGTTTTGCAAACTCTGTACCTTGCGATCCTATCTTTTCAGCGTGACTGGCAAGATCCACTGACAGCCACCAAGTTGGAGGGGGCCACAAGCGCTCGCTCTAAATTTAATTCCGCATGCTCGCTGTGATGCACTGCCAGTCACTGGAATATCTTGGAGCTGGGACCCCTTCCAGGCTTAGGATAACATCGCCGTTTACCCACAATTCTGCTCATTTCCATACAGACTGTAAGCCAAGCCGCATAACCAATTGCTTGTCTGGATATGACAGTAATTGTATGCAATTCAGCCTTCAAAGTTTCTTCTAACAATCTCACAGATCCCTTTCCTATCACTTTGACATGTCTCCACTTGGTGCATTATTCTCCAGCGATGACAATGTTATCTCTCTAGCAGATGTTAATACCCACATGGAAAGCTCCTGGAACGTCCTATTATTTGCTGTAATTTTCTCCCTCTGTTTCCTGTGTGTGAGAGAGAGGGGGGGAAGAGAGAGAGAGAATGGTTTAGAAGTAAATTAGGAAAAGAAGAATCCTTTTCACTACACAAGGAAACAAACAGGGCGAAAGGAGAACGAATTGGGTACAGTGGATTGAATTTGGATCAAGGGCACCTGAACTCAAATCACTGGGGAATGGACCAATGGGTTGTCAGTTGGTAGCCTTTACAAGACCACAGAAGCCTTACCTACAACATAGAGTTGTTGAGAGATGCAAAAGTTATTTGTTTAGTAGTTAGTTCCCATCCTACTTTCCAGACATCCCACGACTAGTGGAATCTTTAAGGAATTGCTGGGGCCCTGTTGGCATGGCAGCGCCATCGTTGACCCCACTCCTGCCCTGCGTCTCTGAGAAGAGGGAGAACTAAATGGAGCAGGTCCTTTGGCAGAGGCGATGGAGTTGCCCTGCTGATCTTCACCTCCACAGCAGCCAGATGGAATAGCTGATGCTAGATGTCAGACGAAGGAGGGAGGAGTGCAGTGGAGCTTCCGTCTTCCTTTCAACATAGGTTGAGGGTGTTCTGCTGAGGAGCAGAGCCTGTGCATCAGTTGTCTCAGTGTTGTGAAATGAACTTTCTCCAGGAACTGCAATTTACTGCTCTTCCAGAGGGAGGTAACAACATTTTTATTTATTTATTGCAACATTTATTTATTGTTACATCCCATCTTTCCTCCAAGGAGCTAAAGGGAGTGTACATTTATCTTCAGAACAACCCTGTGAGGTAGGTTAGGCTGAGAGACAATGACTGGCCCAAGGGTACCCAAGGAGCTCTATGGCAGAGAAGGGATTCGAACCCTGCTCTCCTAGGTTCTAGTCCAACACTCTAGCAACATGGGCAGCAGAATGACGTATGGCAAGGGGGTGTGTGTAACACACACACACACACACACTTGATTCCCTTGTTTGTTCATATTGGTGTTATGTTCTGTTTTTGTTGACCATTGAGTTTATATTTACACTACACTGTACTGTTCAAAACCTTGAATACTGGAAGCCTACCTGTGATAGTGAGTTTCTCCGAATTGGTGAGCTCCCCTATGGTTTTTGGTTGAGGAATACTCTTGATCAGTGGACAGGAATAGAATAATAATAATAATAATAATAATAATAATAATAATTATTATTTTTATTTATATCCCGCCCTCCCCAGCCGAAGCCGGGCTCAGGGCGGCTAACAACAAATAATCCAATAAATAATCCAACAATCCAATCAATTGGATTGGATCTTCTGCAGCATCAGATTTAGGGCAATGTGGGCTGTTCCTCTGCACAGGGAGCTGAGGTGAGGGGGAGCAAAATTTAGAAGGTCCAGCACTTCTTTTCCAGCCAGAACTCGCTGGAACTGAGTTCTGGCACCTCTCAGGTGGGTGCCATTGTAATTATAAGAGAACAAGTTCATGGTGAGTTCTGGTACCTCTTTTTCTAGCAAAATAGCACTGAGAAGATCCATAACTGAGAATATCCATTTGGTGGTGCCAAATGTTGGCCTTGCTCAGGGTATTACCATATTACCAAAGATTACCAAAGTCCACCCCTGATCTTCTGAGACTTCCATCACGTTATACAGACATTCAAAAGTGATGAAAATGGGTTAACTTTCGCTGGAGCTCCCTGCTTCCCCCTTATGTTCACACCTCCTTCCACATAAGAACATAAGAAAAGCCCTGGTGGATCAGGCCCTATCTGTGTGGGGCAGAGGTGCTACTCTGGCTTCCCAGCAGGTAGGTCGCTGCTGCTTACTGGGACAAGTTAACAGGGAGCCAGGAGCAGTGCAAATGTACTGTCAGAGCCAATCTGGGAAGCAAAAATGACCTCCTCTAACTGGGAAGTTTTGTCGCTGTTCTGCCCCACCTCAACAGGGAAGTATTAGGGGTTTGTATGCTCTGTCCCACCTGCTGCTTATGCCTTCAAGGGGAGTGTAACCCCACCCAGAAGAAGGAAGCCTTCTATATTGAGTCTCGTCTTATTGGCTGTCATCCGGCCCTGGGATGAGGCCATAAAGCATAACTTCCAGGGAGGCTCCTGCCAGACTTCTTCTCAGACATTAACTGCTGTTGGCCGCGGCTGCTTGTTTCAGAACAAAAGCAGAGGAGAGACACTGGCACGACTGTTGCTGTCCTTGTAATTCAGTTTATGGGATCAATGGAGCTGTCTGGAGCCACCTTGGATGGAGTGTCATAATTGAAATCAATGAGTTTATGCCGAGTGAAAAATCACCTTACGAACAAGCTGGGCTCACAATCGCACTCAGTCCGAGAAAGAGCAGCTTCTTTATTAGATCTTTATGAAACAAAAGCCCGCCTTCGTATGGCATTCCCACACTCTATAATAACATAAAAGGGCTGATAAATACCCAAAGTGTACCTTTCAGGTTTTCTGCAATTTAGCAGAATTTTCATGCCCGTAATCTACTTTCCTTGCTCAGCATCTACTTGGAACTTTTTGGATTTTTTTTTTTTACAGCCCCAGATCTCCTGTTCATAACAGACAATTTATGATCCCGCAGCCTGAATCGTAAGTGCTGGTAAACAGGTTCTTGGGGAAGATTTAAGTTAGGAGGACAGCGCCTATAAAGAGGAACAAGAATTCATTACATTTCGCAGATGGAGCCGATAAAAGGAAGAAAAAAAATCCATATCTTTGGGCAGCTGTGAAAGGGGGAAAAAAAGAAAGAAAACCTGAAACCTTCACAATGCACTGTGGTTCTGTTGCAAAGCTTTATTCAAATGGTCTGTGAAAGTTTTAAATCAATGGTTTATTGGAGCAGAGGGGAAAGGAGAACTAAGCAGCGCTTTTTAATGGCACAGCCCTTGCCCACCATGATTTGAACGATGCTGAAATTGTATATATGGCATCACTGGAATTAAAAAGATGAGGCTTGCAAAGCACTGTGTTCAGACAGCTAATGCTTGCTTGCAGCTCACTTTGATGGCTCCTCCCTTCTGATGCTCATGGGTTTAATCTGTGTATAGGCAAAAGAGCACCCATGTATGCAATCTATTATAATTATTTTAATTTATTACCCACTGTTCCCTTCAAGGTCCCATGTCTGGTAGGAGCAAATTATAACACAACATCTGGCGAAAAAACAGGAAAGACTGCTAGGCAGGCTGCAATTTAATGACCCCTGGGAGCGGGGCCCAAGTGTCCCCATTGGCTGGGAATGCCTGTCCAAGGGATGCCGACATTGGCCAGTATCTGACAGCTGGGCGATCTGGCCTGCCATTGGTCGGATCACTTGTGGGCCCGGGCCCTGGCTGCAACACTGTCCACCAATGAGGGTGAGCGAACTTATAACACAACATCTGGATGAAATCACTGGATGAGGTTACTATTAGATGGCTTTGTAGCTAGTTCCTCATCATCCTGGAAAAAAGGGACAATCAGATGGCCACCTCTTGTGGATGCGTCTTCTTTTGTTTAGTTTTAGTTTTTTGTTTATACTTTTCAAATTTATACATTCCATTAGTTTTATAATCAATTTTACATTTCAAAATTTGACTTCGCTTTCTGCGGTTCCTTAAATTTACTTTTAAATATCTTCTGCATATCCAAATTCATTTAACTTGCTCCTTTAATTATCTACTGTAAATATATACACTTATAAAACTGCAGGTTATTACAATAATCCTGCTAATGTTTTTATCTGTTTACAATTTATCTGTAAATATTCAATAAACCATTTCCATTATTTTGTAAAAAGTTTGTTATCTTGATTTCTTACTCTTCCGGTAAGTTTTGCCATTTCGGCATACTCCATAAGTTTTTGTATACATTCCTCCTTTGATTGGACTTCTGCTTCTTTTGGGCAAACAGCTGGGACTTCTGCTGTGACTTCTGCTACTTTTGGGCAAGCAGTTTTCTTGTAGCATACATAAATACATTTCCATACAATTTAGGTAGTTCTGTCCCTATAATTCTCCAAATAAAAGCTTCTGGTTGTTTTTTTAAATAAAAGTTATTTTGAACATCTTTATCAATTCATTGTATATCATTTCCCAGTCATGGATGCTTTAGCTGAGATGCCTGCATTTCGGGGGTTGGACTAGATGACCCGTGGGATCCCTTCCAACTCTACAATTCCATGGTTCTATGATTCTCCTCCAACCCTTTTCAGGGGTTCCTGTAGGGGCCAGATCACAACTGCTGGAAAGAAGCTGAAAGCCGCCGGCTAGTTGTTGTTAGGATATAGTTCCATTCCACCTTAAAAGGAACAGGCATGACTGTTGTGAGTCACATGCCTGTTTACTTCCAGCACAGGCTTGCTGGGAACTTCTGTTTGTATAATGCTTTTGCTATACTGCTGTTTGCTTGCACACGAAGGGAAGCAGACATGTTTTCCCCTTTGTTCCTGATGCTGAATAAACGCCTGTAAATAATGCTTACACATGTCTCTGTCTGCCACTTCCGTTGTGAGAAGTTATTCACTCTGCTGATTAGAGTGTGCTAAGTCTCTAAAGGTCTCTGAGGCTAGTGTCGCTGATTGATGCTGTTCTGAGATGTGCCTCTCCTGTCAAATGTGCCTCTGCTGCAGCGATGAGGAACCTCTGGCATGGAGACCAAATGTGCCCCCCAGGGCTTCTCTATCTGGTCCTCAGGTCTTTCAGCAGGCCACACCCTCTAGCCACACCTCTCACCAGCCCAACTAGAGGGTGCTTTTTCGGTAAAATAAAACCACCCAGGTCAGGAATGCCAACTTGGCTACGTGACCACGGGTTCCCAGGGGCCATGGGTGCGACGCAGCGTGCATGGCCCTGGCACTCAGATTTATGTGGAATTTTATGGGTGCTCAGGCACCCAGGGCCCCAGGGAGTTGGCAACTATGATCCAGGTTAAATACACTTATTTAAAAGTGTGGTTAATCACCCTGAAATCCCAGAAAGCTGCTACTCTGAGCTAAAGGGACCAATGGCCTGGCAAAGTCTAAGGCAGATTTACATGAAGCAATCTCCAGAACTAGGCAAGTACCTTTGACAGATCATAGGACTATTGTGATTGTATTTCTTCTTCTTCTTCTTCTTCTTCTTCTTCTTCTTCTTCCAAAAGCCGAAGGAAAAAGAATCTATTACAATAAAGCTCATGGTGCTTCTTTAAAATAAATAAAGAAAAGAGTTGCTAATCTTCTGAAAGTAATGCTTAATCAACAATGTAAAGAAAGAAAGTAACTAAAGAGCTCTGTCTAGTTAATTAAATAAAATCAGGTATTCTGCTGGAAGCACTTAATGAACCATGAGTAATATAATTATTTTCAGAAAATTGAAGCAGGAAAAAGTAATTACTTATTTAAGACTAAATAATTACAGCTCGCTCTTCAGTATAAGGCGAGACATCCCAAATACTAAATCAAAGTTGCACTTTTGAGTCTCCCTCCTCCCCCAGTTGGATTGTAACACATGTACACCCATGGACGTCTTGATCCTTTCAATGTGGTGGCTTGGGCTGTAGTCTAAAGCTGGCCTGGGTAATCAAAGTGGTTCACTAGTTATCTGTTTTCACCATCTCCATCACCTCCCATTTTTTTAGTCCCACTTGGAGAGGAAGAACACAAGAAGGTTTATTGGCTGGTCATTTTTATTTATTGACTTACTTACAGCATCTATGAGCCGCCCATTACCCTCCTAAGGATCTCAGAATGGCTTACAAAAACCAGTTTCAAGACGGTCCCCTGCCCTCAGGCTCACAATCTAAAAAGGCATGACATGCGAAGGGAGAGGAATGGGGAGGGAAGAGGGAAAAGCAAGCTCAAATTCTTAAAGTTACACTTAAAGTTACAGTTGTTAAAACCGCAGCTGATACAAGTGGTGACTCTGGAAGTACTGCATATGAGATAACTGGCCTCATACAACCAACATGCTCAAGTCTAATTAAGTCTTGAAGGAATTAATGTTATAGACTAAGCTCTCCTGCCAGACTTAGCTAGGTCACTTCCCTTCATCTTGGGAGGAAAATAATCAAGCTTATTGTTCCCTTAGTCTTCTGAGAAGCTCAGACCGCATGGCTCTTACAAGCTTTTCTCTTGTTCCTATACCAATCATTTAGGGCCTTTCACCACTGTAACTAAGCCAAGTTTTATTCCACGTGTTTTCTGAATGCTGTATGGAAAAACACATGAACCTGACATTTCGAGAGTTTGTAAGTAAACCACTTTTAACTTACCAAATGTGAGGGAAGAGGGAAACTTTGGAAGGAAGCCACAAGGGCATATTTAAAGATCTAACAGACTATATTTCCATGCTTTGCTTTGCTGCGTGTTTTGTGATTTTAAATCTCTGTTAAATCTCTGTTCTCTCACTAAATAGTACTTGCCCCAAACCTGGACCTTGACATCCAAGAATTCACCTTATAAATAATTCTCCTAATTTTCCTTACCACCAACACTACATTTGTGTTTCATTTGGTGGGTCACATGGTTGTTGTGAGGATAAAATGGGGAGGAAGAGAACCATGGATGCCACTCTGAGTTCAATGTAATAATTAGACATATGGATAGAATTATGGGAACCAAATACTGAACTAGTTAGGCATTTGTTCTGTCCAAGTAAGGCTCTTCTGACATCTTAATAGACCATATATATATATGGCTGTTGCCCTAGGTTTGATTTATTTGCTGGTGTTCTGACGAAATGTTTCCCCCCAGCAACTCACTTGCAGAACATTCTAGTTCCTACCATCATTTAAGTGCGGTTCCATTGAAATTCAATGCCATTTACTGTAAACTGGATACAGAAATAAAGTAATCACAGATTAGTATTGTCTGTGCAACATATATGAGTGTATTCAAGTGATTCGTTTATAGCTGCTTTTGAACGGTGAATCCCCATGTCTAAATCTCACCTCACCCATGAACTCATATAGAAAAGCTACAATTATATGCCTCAGCCCACCCCCCTGCCCTGCCAGCTATCTATAATATGAGGATAATACTGGACTATAAGATTATCCCAATAAAATTGCCTCACACCTCTTAATTCAGCCTTATCCTTTTCTGAACAGCTTTGCAAATGGTGTGAGGAAAAGTGGAGGAATTGGGAGAACAAAAGGATTTCTGCTTCCAGTCGTCTAATAAATAGAGATAATAACTCAATTTTATTTTTAATATCTCAGACTGAAAGGTCAAGCAAAGCGAATATTGGAAGTCCAAGGTAACATTATCCCCTAGTAAAAGTCATTTCCCAGTGGCAGAAATGTAGCATTTGAAAACCAGCACAAAATCAAATTAGTCAGCTTTTAGACAGCGTTAAGGGCCATGGGGTGGTAATGGGGGGAAAAGCAATATTAATATCTAAATTTCTTCTGGCTCCTCGGGCTGTGAATTGAAAACTGGCTTAAAGTAAACCCAGGTAGGGGGAAAAACACAATACAATTCATAAATCTGTTACTGCTCAAAAGGCTCTTGCCTTAAATACCTGGGACAGCAATCTTCCTTGGCAAATAGTCTATTATAACAAAAGTTTCCTGGACTCCTCTGATTAAGGCCGTATCTCTGCAAATCACTCGAGAGCATGTTTAACCGTCATGCTGACTCTCTGCTTAAGTGGATATCTAGTTCAGGGCTGAGTCTTTTGTTCACCTGGCATATGTCTAGTGGGCTGCCTGATGAACAAAAGAACATTAAGTGGAGCCCTGCTCAGGCCAGGCACTGGAACTCGCCGCAGCTGGGCAAATGCCAAGGCCCTTGAGGTCCTAGATGCCAAGGACTGGCTGGATGAAGAGGAGCGGTTGGAGACACCAGCCAGGGAACTCCCAAGGGAAACCCCAGAGGAGGAAAGCTCAGAGCCAGGGGTTTGGTGGTGGGACACCAAAGAGAGGTCAGAGGGAGAAGATTGGGAGAGGGGCTGGATGCTGAAGGGGCAACAGGGTTAGGGTTGTGCTGACCTTTAAAGCCCTAAATGGCCTCAGCCCAGTATACCTGAAGGAGTGTCCCTACCCCCATTGTTCAGGCTGGACACTGAGGTCCAGCTCCAAGGGCCTTCTGGTGGTTCCCTCCCTGCGAGAACTGAGGTTACAGGGAATATCCAAAAGAGGGGGAGCCTTAGAGAGGGTGGAAGGCAGGGACCTTCAGATCCTTACAACTTGTCTATAGGGACAAGACCTGATGGAAAGTTTTGCTGAGTTGTATGCCGTTGCCTATGGTTTTCCCAGTAGTGATGTATGGAAGTGAGAGCTGCACCATAAAGAAGGCTGATCGCCAAAGAATTGATGCTTTTGAATTATGGTGCTGGAGGAGACTCTTGAGAGTCCCATGGACTGCAGGAAGATCAAACCTTTTTTTTAAAAATGATATTTATTGAAAATTTTTAGAATTACAAAAGAGAACAAAGCAGAAAAAAGAGGGGAAAAAACAAAGAAAAAACAAACCACATCAAACAATACAAATTCAAAAAACAAAAATACACCACAAACACTCAAAAACAAATCCATCATTCTCAAATCCTCAACTGTCATTACCTTCTTTCTTTGACCTCCTCCTCCTCCTCCCTTTTTTTGTATCCTAGTTGTTAATTGTCGCAGCAAATCCTTTCCATATTTCATAATATTCTGTCATTACATTACCTTAATCTATTTTAATCTTATCTTACTATAAAGAACCTTAAAGCTTAAAACTTAAATCTTATTTTTACCAACTTCTCA